TACACTGGAGCACAGAGCCCTTAGAGATTTAGATGAGTCAAGGAGTGTTCCACATGTATGCCCATTTTCCCACAATCGGGACAGGTCATGTTGTGGCTGCTCTATAGAGAAAGCTTCCCCACCATAGTACAAATCAAAACCTACCTGTGTTAGTGTGAACTGCATTGGGTGGTCTGTTGTATTCATTGTTGTTACACCACTTTCATAACAAGACACAAAGATTGTAATTGTAGCAAATTAAGCATGCATCTGCAGCCTTGAACATTTCTTTTTAAACATGTACCACAGCTGACGCCTTCATGTCGGGACACGCTAGTTCAGACGGTGGCAGCACGGTCTCTCCCAGTTGAGCTCCCAAAGAATTTGAGAGCACGGTCAAGTGAGTTGCATACATTTGCCTGGCATCACCTGGAGTTTCAGCCCTGCATGGCCTTGTAATAAAGCCCTGTTCTGATCAAGTATATCCGTAGTTGAGCAGCATTCTGGCACGTGGCCTGAAGGTAATGGGGCCAGCTGGCACTCCTCTTGTGGCTTAAATACCATGTTGGACCACACAGGTACCTTTTTATCTCAGGCTATTAATCTTAGAAGTTCAATTTTTAATCTTAGAAACTGGAAACTCATTTTGGTAGAGCAGGAGAGTGGAAAATTAATTCTTACTAATGCAATGAAAAGATTGCCAGGAATAACTGGAGTATACGTAATTCAGTTTGCTTTTCCCAGTCAGTGAACCCGGTAGTAGTGAACCCCTCTCCAGGCACGTATCCTCATCAACTCCTAAAACACAGATTTAAGCGAATCATCATTCAAATGCCTGTGGTATATGGATAATAACCCATATAATTGCTCTCAGAATACCACTTTTCTGTTGATATAACAATTGTTATGCTCTAATTCTTTCAAGACACATTTCATTTGGCTAACATGTTTTCTTTAGAATTGTGGAATAGCATCATCAGCTATCCTATCATTGCCATTAATTTAATTAATATTTGAGAACCATCAGTACTCGGGGATGCATGCGAGGTACTGTCTCCCTTAGCAAAGTTGTTGGCCAAGAATTTCTGTGTGAAATCACTTACCTTCATAGTTGCCTTTCTTGCAGGCTTTTCTCCCTATCCGTTAGCACATGCGTGGACTTGGATGCTAACAATCACATACTCATCCATGTATTTAATAAATGCTAATTAAAAGCTTCCTGTTGTGCCACGTGCCTCAATCTCTGAGTGTAGACCTGGCATTATCTAATGACTAGAGGCCCGCACACCTATGGTCCCTAGGCCTAACCTGCTATCAGGGCCATCTTCCCCAGATGCCCACAGCTGACCCTGCCTTCCCCCCCCGCAACACCCTCTGCCACCACTCACACCTGGTTCCCCGTTCTCCAATCGGTGCCTGACAGCCGAGAGAAGGGACTGAGAGGTTGGCTGTTCCCACCTTCTTGATGGGTGGCTGTCTTGTGTGAGGAGACCTACAGGGTGGGGGGCCTTGGCCTGGCACTACTTGCAACCCCCACCATCCAACTCCGGTTCCTGGATAGGAGCCTGCTGGACAGGGAAAGGGACCAAGAGGTGGTCAGTGTGCCGCATAGTGACTGCTCCAGTGGTTGTTCTGCTGTTAGGGTCAATTTGCATATTACCCTTTTATTATATAAGATAGAGGCTTGGTGCATGGATGGGGGCCAGCTGGCCTGCCCTGATGGGGGTCCCAGATTGGAGTGGGGGGTCCTTCCTGGGGGGCAGGGAGGACCTGGGTGAGGGGCCACCAGGGGTTTGCAGGTTGACCACGTCCCTGATTGAGGTGGGTGTGTCCACGGGGTGGCAGGGTTGGCCTAGGTGAGGGGCTGGTAGTTCTGGTCTCTGGTCATTCTGGTCATTCTGCCATTTCTGTCGCTGGGCTTTTATTATATAGGATGCTGCTTGTAACTCTGTAGTGCATCAACAAATTGTTCATATATAGCACACACTACTACAAAAGCATGTGATAGTCATCAATTCATTAAAACAGACAAAACAAGCCTAGGTGCCTACTATGTGCTAAAGGTATTTAACCTGCCAAGGTCAGGGGGAGCTCCTTTAGGAAGTGGTGGTTAAGCTGAAACCTTAGAGGGGAGTCAGCTTACCTAAGGGTACTTGAAAAGACTCCCAGACCAAGACAACAGCATGGCCCAGAGAAGACTAGTGTGGCCAGAAGCCACGGGCGATACAAGATGAGACTGAAACAGGACCAGGCAATTCCAGACTTTGTGGGTCATGTTGAAGATTTGTCCTATGTCCTCGGAGTAGAAAGAAGCCATTGAAATGCTCCAGCCAAAAGCCATCTTTACATAGCCTGTGAGCTCGGTCTCTATTAGGCAGCTCAGCTCTAACTCGGACATGTTAATTTCTAAATAGAAATTGTTAAGCTTTTAAAGTTTTGTTGTATTTAGGTGCTTCTCTGTAGTGTGTTTAAAAATTACCTATCACATGACAATAACAGCAGTATCAGCAAAGAAACCGTAATCCTAAACAGATTTTTGGGTCCCATTCTCAGATATTCTATAAGTCTGGTTGGTGTTCAGGAATTTAAATTTCCTTTAAAAAAATAATTATTATTATTATTTATTCTTTAAAGTATTATATATGTCTCCCTTTTCTTCCATTGACTTCTCCCTGGCCATTCCCATCCCCTCGGCACATGCCCTCACCTCCCTACTGTCTGTGTCTATGGCTTATGCTTATATGCATGCATACAAGTCTTTTGGTTGATCTCTTATCATCCCCCTTCCCCTGCCTACCCTCTGCAGTTTGATGCTTCCTATGTCTCTTGATCTATTTTTGTTCATCAGTTTATGTTGTTCACTATATTCCACAAATGAATGAGATCATATGATATTTATCTTTCTAACTGGCTCATTTCACTTAACATAATACTCTTCAGTTCCATCCATGCTGTTGCAAATGGTAAGATTCCTTTTTTTTTCTTTTTTTTTTTTTTCTTTTTTTACCGCAGCATAGTATTCTATTGTGTAGATGTACCATAGTTTTTCATTCCACTCATCTGCTGATGGACACTTAGGCTGTTTCCAAATCTTAGCTATTGTAAATTGTGCTGCTATGAACATAGGGATGTATATATTCTTCCTGATTGGTGTTTCTGATTTCTTGCGATATATTCCTAGAAGTGGGATTACTGGGTCAAATGGAAGTTCTGTTTTTACTTTTTTTGATGAAATCCCATACTGTTTTTCTATAGTGGCTGCACCAGTCTGCATTCCCACTAGCAGTGAACGGTTCATATAATCATAGGAGGGGTCTTTAATATTTCATTGACACCACTATATAAATCCTCTAAACAAAAAAATCAGCAATACCATCAAAGAAACAGCAGTCCTAATTGATTCATTAGATCAGATGAAATTAATTGACATCTTCAGAACATTTCACCCCAAAGCTATAGAATATACATTCTTCTCAAGTGCACATGGGACATTTTCAAAGACAATACATATTGGGACACAGGCAAAGTCTCTTCAAATTCAAGAAGATGGAAATCATATCAAGCATCTTCTCAGATCACAATGGCATAAAGTTAGAAATCAACTACAATTAAAACGGTGAAAAAAATCAAACACTTGGAGGCTAAATAGCATGCTATTAAACAGTGATTAGGTTATTAAAGAGATCAAAGAAGAAAGAAAAAGCATACTGGAAACAAATGACAATGAAAACACAACAATCCAAAATCTATGGGACACAGTGAAAGCAATCTTGAGAGGGAAATTCATAGTTCTGCAGGCGTACCTAAAAAAAAAAAAAAAAAAAAAAACAAAAGAAAAACGTATAATAAATTATCTAACCCTACAACTCAAAGAATTAGAGAGCAACAAGTAAAACCTAGAGTAAGCAGAAGGAAGGAAATAATAAATATCAAAGTGCAAATAAATGACATAGAGACATAAAAATACAAAAGATCAATAAAATCAAGAGCTAGTACTTTGAAAGGATAAACAAGATTGATGTACCTCAATCCAGCCAGGCTTACCAAGAAACAAAGAGAGAGGACCCAAATAAACAAAATCAGAAATGAAAGAGATGAAATAATAACAGACCCTACAGAAATAAAAAGGAATGTTAAAAAGGTCTAGTAGACCAACTCTACTTCAACGAACTGGACAACCTAGATGAAATAGACATATTCCTAGAAAAATGCAATCTTCCAAAACTCAATCAGAAGGAATAAAAAAATGTGAATAGGCCGATAACTATGAAATTGAAGCAGTAATAAAAAAATATAAATAAATAAAAAAAACTTTCAGCAAATAAAAACCCTGGTCCAGATGGCTTTACAGCAGAGGTTTACTAAATGTTCAAAGAAGAACTAAAACCTATCCTCCTCAGGTTATTCCAAAAAATTCAAGAAGGCACACTTCCATGCTCTTTGTATGAATTTCTAATTAAACGTTCCCAGAAATTGCTGATGCTGCTGGTCCATCCATGGACCAGATTTGAGTTACAGTTATTCAGAATTAACTCACCTCTGTTTTGTCATCATTTTCCTGTTGTAACCAGCAAAGGATCATGTTTAGTCACACAATACCTAAAATATGTTTTGGGGGGAGCTACATTTTATAGAAGCCGTTTAAAGGCTATAAATTATACTTATCTGTGTACCTTCAATATACAGGGTGGTGCAAAAGTGGCCTTATCGTTGTTTGTATGGAAAATAATATAAAAATAAACTCTGTTTCACCTACTTGCAATTAGAATCCTACTTTGCCCCACTCTGTATATATGTCATTGTGGTGATGTAGTAAACAGCATTGGTGATGTATAGTCCAGAAATCAAGATCTTAAAACAGAAAGAAATCTTGATTAACAAAAATTTGTAAAACGTTATTAGTACTACTTTGATAGCTGTTGAGAATTTTGAAATTTAGAACAATATGATTTGGGAGTTGGAAACAGTGGTTTCAGAAAGAGTAAATCTATTACTAAACCCTTTATTTATTTATTTTCTAGATTTAATTACTTGTTTAGACACTGCATCCAGCTTTTTGGAGCCCGAGTTCAGGTATGACCATATTTGTGCCCTCCCCTCCTCACCCCCTTAAAGTTACCTTGATCTACTTTATCCTCATTTTTCATACACTTAAGTTTAATGCCCATGGTGACATAGATGTTACCCAATAAACCAGATGTTCTAAGATGTTACCCAATAAACCAGAGCTTTTTTAAAGCCACTGAGTTAGGGTTCTCATGTAGATTACCAGAAGCACTTACAATGCTACCTAGCACATAGTAAGTCTATTCAAAATGTGTATTGCTTTTATTGTTAGATTCCTTCCAATTACTTCATAGAGTTCCTTTTCCTCATAGCTGAATCATAATCTAATTAACTATCTGTGTGTCACTTAAATGTCTTTCCCACCACTGGAAGGTAAACACAGTGAGGATAGGAGTCATGTTTGTTTGGTTGACATTAGTAAACCCTGTGCCAGCACAGCCCAGCACTTAGACCAAAATACACATTCAAGTAAATGTGTTGAGTGAGTAGGTGGGTGAGTGAGTGATAAATGAAAGAATACAAAACATTTTTTTAGTTCGACATAAATTTGATCAATAGGATGGGTAAAATAAACATGTTTTATCCACAGAATAGAATATCATGTAGCTATTAAATATGGTGAATAGACTTTACAGTAGAAATATGTCTGTATTCATTATGAAATGAAATAAATGTATGTAAATAAGAGACAATTGTAAATCCGTCAGTAAAGGTGTGTGTGGGCGGATGGGAGAAAGTCTGAAAGGGCTTTCTGGAAGTGCTGGTTCTCAGAGTGGTGAGATGGTGATACTCACATTGAACTGGAGATGGATATGTGATGTGTTGTGTTTCTCTCCCCCTGCCCCCCCCAAAAAAAACAAAGCACTGTGGTATGTGCCCTTTAACTTGTTTCTCTTTCACAGTAAGTACTGCCCCGCTGGTTGTCTGCTTCCTTTTGCTGAGATATCTGGCACAGTCCCTCATGGATATAGAGATGTAAGTTGCCTATTGACTATGTTAAAGTTGTAATAGGACTTTATGTTTTTAAATTTCAGAATAGGTAAATGTGTACCTGTTGTATATTTTTGTTTTGATATTTTTCTAGGAATTATTTGTTTTTGGTAATATGTAATGTCATTATTTTTCTTATAAAAAATCTGTTATGGCATCAATAATCTTACCGGTGTTTATTGAGAAAACTGCCCAAATAAACTTAATTTCTTGAGGAAATGCCTTATTTATGAATTATCAAAAGAAAAGAACAAAGCTGACTTTTTTTTTTCCCCTTTCTCTAGTCCTCGCCATTGTGCATGGCTGGCGTGCATGCAGGAGTGGTGTCCAACACCCTGGGTGGCCAGATCAGTGTTGTAATTAGTAAAGGTATCCCGTACTATGAAAGTTCTTTGGCTAACAACGTCACGTCTGTGGTGTAAGTATAGATGCTGTTTATAATAAGCATGCTGGGCAAGGGGTGGGATGGGACTGGTAAGGCCTCAGAAGTGTAACAGTTAGTGGTGTTCAGGAAATACCATTTGTGCACTTTGCTCTTATATTTTTGTGTGCTCAGTGTCTGAGTGTACTGGGGAGGACAGGCAAAGTTTTACTACTTGGCTCGTTCTCTGTCCAAAGGTAGTCATTTGCAAGCTTGATTGGTTTGTTTATTCTTTTCTAAGTGTTGAAAAGCATAGAATAAAAGTCTAGAAGTATTTTGTCAAATCCCTAGTACTTCATTTTAAAGACCAGAACGCTAACTACTGTGTTCCCTATAGCCTGTGTGACCCAGAATGGATTGAGAATAATTGAAACACTTTGAATGTGAATTAAATTTTGACGTTAATCAGAAATGGTAATGTTATAAATCTCCCTCTCAACCTCAGATAATATTTTCAGAATGTATTTTTATGGTTCCTATAACATTGCACTATTTTACAGAACTTAGACTAGGCATAAATAAGCAGAAGTTCAGACATTAGATAGAAATGCAGTATTCCTCATCTGTGTCTGTGTATCCTAAATCTTGGGTATGCTCAGTCCTACGCACAATACTAAGTCTGTCTGAAACCAGCTTCTCTTTGGAGGTTCTGGGCCAGTTTCCATGCAGAAGACAGGAGCAAACCACACCCTCAGCAATAGAAAGCAGGAGTCAGCAGTTTTTCTGTAAAGAACCAGCTAGCAAATATTTTAGCCCTTTCTGGGCCACATGGCTCTGTCACTTATCCCTTTTCTGTTTCATTTACAGCCCTCTAACCATGTAAAAACATGCTTTGCTCATGGGCCACACAGAACAAGCCATGCCTGGGCTATCTGCCCATCATTAGCATGCAGTCAGTTCCCTTTCCTTCTTTTGATTTCTTCTACATGCTTTTATGCAGATCCTTTCATTCTTTCTCATATTCTACCTTTAGACAGAGTTTTTTATGAATTCTCTTTTTCCTCTATACTAATAAAAGGGTAATGTGCTAATTAAACTGGGTCAGCTGGACATCTTTTGGATGTCCATCTTCTTTCTGAACAGTTAGGGGGCAACCAGGCCAGCAGTGGGGCGGGCAGTTAGGGGATGACCAGGCCGGCAGTTACAGTTAGGGGGCAATCAAGCCGGCAACAGAGGCAGTTGGGGGCGATCAGGCAGGCAGGCAGGTGTGCAGTTGGGAGCCAGTGGTCCCGGACATTCCCCCCGAGTGGTCCTGGATGCAGGTCAGGTTGAGGGATGCCTCCCATCCCCACCCCATGGACTAATTTTGTGCACCGGGCCTCTAGTACTTAAATAAGGACAAGTTGCATCCATTTGTAATGACTTGGATGTTGTGCTTAAGGCAGGAGCCACATACTTTGAAATTGAAGTGCAGCAGCACCATAACTTGCTGATTTCCTGTACCAAATGCAGTCTCTCAGCAGTAACCTGTTTATTCCAGGAAATTGGAACCTCCTTGTCTGAGACTTACCCTTTCAGTGCACCTTCACCAGAAGCAGTTGCCACAGGAAAGGCTTAGGAGTCTGTTTCATGAAAAAAAGATAAAATAGAAATATATACTCAAGGTTATGAGGACACATTTGCACAATCATATATGAAACTAGGAAGTAGATACTTGTAGAGAAAGTTATTTATGCTGATGTCAGAAGTTCTGCTTAGAAATGAGACTTTCTATTTTAATTAAGAGTTAAAATAGTATGTTGTCTAATATATAGTTTAAATAGTATCTATTGTCTAATATATAGGCAGAGAATACTCAGTTCTTTATACAGTAAAATAAAAACTCAAAAAGGTTTACTAAGACAAATATGGAGAAGTCATGTGTTCTGTGATATTGTCATCAAAAATTTTTTTCTCTTTCAGGGGACACTTATCTACAAGTCTTTTCACATTTAAGACGAGTGGTAAGCCTTTCATGGACTTTATAACTTGCTATCCTTTCTAATAAAAGAGTAATATGCAAATTGACCATCACTCCAACACACAAGATGGCTGCCCCCATATGGACACAAGATGGCCAGCAAGGGAGGGCAATTGGGAGAGACCAAGCCTGCAAGGGAGAGCAGTTGGGGGCAATCAAGCCTGCAGGGGAGGGCAGTTATGGGGTGACCAGCCTGCAGGGGAGAGCAATTAGGGGCAATCAGGCTGGCAGGGGAGCAGTTAGGCATCAATCAGGCTAGCAGGGGAGTAGTTAAGGGGTGATCAGTCTGGCAGGCAGAAGCAGTGTGGGGCAATCTGGAAGACAGGCAGGCAAACAGTTGGGAGCCAGTAGTCCTATGAAGTTAGAAGGGCATTTAAAAACTTAATGAAATAAATGAAGTTCTGTGTTAATAGGAAAATGATCGTGAAAGCACGGAAAATTTCTAGGAAAGGTGATTTTAAACTTGTTTGAAGAACTAATTCCTTCATTTGACTGAAAATATTTGAGTACCTTTCTTTATTTGCCAGGTATTGTTCTGGTCTAAAAAGAAAACAATGAGCAGAATCAACAAAATTTTTTCTTTCCTGGAGTTTACATTCTGATAGTGAGAGATTGACAATAAACAGTGACTAAGTCAGTTATTATTAGTATTTATGTATTGTTTATGATATAAAATATGTAGAAAACGAAGGAGAAAGGATAGGCAATGATAAGGGATTGATGGGATCAGGGCAAGTCTCTGGGAGAATGGAACATTGGAACAAACACCCGAAGGAGTGTGAGTCACTCATTGACCTGGGAGCTTGTTCTGGGGAGAGGGTCATATATCACCTGTAAACTAACGATTGCTCATGAATAAATATACACAGTTCCTGACAAAACCCAAAACACATGTACCTAGTTTTGAAATTTCTCTATTACAGTGTAGTTTTTAATGTGTAAAGATAAAATAGAAAGTTTGTAGTGAGCAAGTTTGTATAGATTTTAAGTTTATAGCTGGAAAAGCAGTGACTTTCTTTTTTGTTTCAGGTTGTTATGGAACTCTGGGCATGGAATCTGGTGTGATTGCCGATCCTCAGATAACAGCTTCGTCTGTGCTGGAGTGGACGGACCACACGGGGCAGGAGAACAGCTGGAGGCCGGAAAAGGCCAGGCTGAAGAGACCGGGGCCGCCCTGGGCTGCCTTTGCCACTGATGAGTATCAGTGGTTGCAAATAGATCTCAACAAGGAGAAGAAGATAACAGGTTAAGAGATGTAATTTTTTAGAACAACTTATTATTTTTATTTTAAAACCTATTGACATCTAAAGTTTTTATAGAAACTTAAGTCACTGCAAATTTAATTACTATGTGGTTTTTAAGGTGTTTTTTGTTTTTTGGTTTTTTTTACTGGTGTTGATGTTACTAAAGATGGTTTTATAAAAAGCATGACAAAGGAAAGGAGTTGGTATTTGAGTCTTATTAGTTTTTCTTATTATAATAAGATTCTTTTAAGGTAGTGTTTCAGTAAAGGGATCCAGAGACATCTGAAATAACCATCTATTATAGTCATTAAAAGAAATTTATGTTCAAGGAGTGTACTCTTAAGTACTATAAATAATACTCCACATGTGCTGAATATGAATTTAATTATTTAGAGCAATCTAGCAAGTGATCAGCATAATTGGTTGGGATTGGTTTTATTAAAGATTTATTTTACTTTGGTACTGAAAATAATACTAGTAATCATCTTTAATCTGTTCATTCCTAGGAAGTCATTTTTAATCTGTAGGTGCAATATATTTTACAATGATATGAACAGAGTCTATGAACACAGGCTGCTAAAATAGAATGGTTCTTTCCTTTTGTATGCTCATAATTCTCCCAGTCTCTACCAGGGAACAAAGCCAAGGATTTCGGTACCATTATAATGAAACCTTGCACTTAGATGTGGTAATGTGTCATGGACAAAAATGTTTGAATAGTGTTTATGTTTCAATGGTGAACAAACTTCAAAGACCAGACCATGAGCACTAATGAAAGTAACTCTCCATTCTGCAGGCATTGTGACCACTGGCTCCACCATGGTGGAGCATAACTACTATGTGTCAGCCTACAGAATTCTATACAGTGATGATGGGCAGAGGTGGACTGTGTACAGAGAACCTGGTGTGGAGCAGGATAAGGTAAAATGATGAACAAGGTATTTTTAAAAACGTTTTTTTAAATGAGCCTTTGCCAAAAGTCACAGAATTAAATATGGTTTGGTCTTACTCTGCCCTCTTCTGGTCATTTTAGCATGGTTAGGAAATTCTCTGTGGTTCTAGGTCACTTTTGATGATTGTGAGGATTAAATACTTTACTGATGCTTTTTTCACTACATTTTGATTCAGTTTTTAGGTATTTTATTAGGAAATTCTAAAAAGGAACTTAAAATTTCTTGTCTTTAAAAAACTTTTCATTTCAATGCACAGGATGATGGCAAAGCCTGATTTGTTTCCAGATTTCTACTCTGGTACATAAATTAACAAACATGACAGTGCTGAAGGGATTGAGAAGGGTTGACAGTAGGCACAAGTGGCTTCCATCTAGATGGTTATTGCTTTCACCTGGCTTCTGGCCCTTGCTACAACACAAGGATCTTGTAATTGCAAGAGTCCGTGTCCCAAGGATGGAAGAGTCCTCCCATTTAGAATTGATAGATGAGCACCCATTTTTAATGAGTTCTGATAGTTACATGATACTATTAGTTCTTAGTGAGTTTTTTTTGTTGTTGTTATTGTTGTTGTTTTTTTGTTTTTTGTTTTAGTTACATGATACTACCTATTTCCCCGAAAATAAGACAGTGTCTTATATTAATTTTTTCTCCCAAAGTTGCGCTAGGTCTTATTTTCAGGGGATGTCTTATCTTTCCATGCGCTAGGTCTTATTTTCGGAGGGTGTCTTATTTTCAGGGAAACACAGTATCAGTTCTCTATCAGATATATAATACTAGACACCCAGTGCATGAAATTCATGCATGGGTGGGGTCCCTAGGCCTGGCCAGTGATCAGGGCTTATTGGGGCTGTCTCTCTCAGTCTTAATTGGGGCACGGCTGGTTAGGGCCTCCTGCCGCCTGCTGGACAAGGCCTGCTGGATGAGGGAAGGGACCTCAGGAGGTTTGCCGGCCAGGGGTAGGGACCAGGGGAGGTTGTCTGGCCATAGGAGGTTGGCTGTGGCAGTGCACTTACCACCAGGAGGCAGCTCCTGCTTTGAGTGTCTGTCCCCTGGTCTACAGTGCGCATCACGTAGCTCCCGGTCGTTTTGGTCTTAACAGTCGTTTAGGCTTTTATATATATAGATATTAATATATCTTTATTTACCACTTTTCTCATCTGTTCAAAAACTGCAGGGTATTCCTGTAGTCTCTCATATGGATCTAAACTCTTCTGTTATTCAAGGCCTTCTCTCCTCTTTCCTACTTGGTATCACATGAACTTCATGTATGGTGAGCCTCAGCCCATTGTAGCAAATAACAATATTGTCTCCATTTCTATCTTCACAAGGTAGCCCCCAAACTTGACTACCTTTTATTCTTAGCACATCCACATTTATTTGTATAATATTTATATTTATGAGGTATAGTGAATTTCTTGAAATTGTAAAAATTGTCTATATTTATATTATAAAAACTTCTAAGAACATTGAATTATATTTCTGAAAAAAATATTTTTTTGGTTTCATTTTGAAAGATAATTTTACTGAGTTGAGAATTCTAGACTGATAGTTTTTGGTTTCATTATTTTAATTATGCTTACATTGTTTTCGGGTTTGCATTGTTTTCAGCAAGAATTCTGCTACATTCTTAATCATTCTTGCTCAATATGTAATGCCTTTTTTTTCCTCGGCTACTTTCTTTTTATCATTCGTTTCAAGTAATTTGATGATGACGTACTTTATGTAGTTGTCTTATTATTTCTTGGGCTTTGAGCTTCTTGGATCTGTGGGTTATAATTTGCACCAAATTTGGAAAATTGTAGGCCTTCCTTCCCCCCCCCCCTCCCGCCCCTAAATATGTCTCCTCTTCAGTTCTAATTACATGAGTATTATGACTTCTGAATATGTCTTACAGTTCACTGATGCTATTCATTGTTTTCATCTTTCTCTATGTTCTAGCTTAAAAATTTTTCTGCTATTTTGTCTTCAAATTCAATAATCTAGTCTGGAATGTCTGATTTGATATTAATCCTACCCTGTGATTTATCTTCAATATTGTATTTTCACCTCTAGATTTTCAGGTTGGGGCTTTAAATTTTCTTTCATGTCTCTCATTAGCATGCTCATGCTTTTTTATACATTACCTCTGAAACATGTGTAGTATATAACTCAATGTCCTTGCCTACTAATTCTATCTACTCATATATCCTACATCTTTTTATGTTGACTAATATTATGGGTCATATTTTACATATCTGATAATTTTTGACTGATAAACTATATTTACATTGTAGAAATTGTACACTGCATTATTTGGTGCTAGATTTAATTTTGTGTTATTCCTTTAATTTTGTTTGAACTTCACTGTGGGACATAGATTACTTGAAAATTTTTATCTTTTCAAGGCTTGCATTTTTGCTTTATTAGGCAGGACTTGAGCAGCCATTTCTAATTTTTCCCTACTACTGAGGAAATAATGTTCTAAATATTCAATCCAACATCCCATGTGTTTCTTCACTCTGGCTGTTGGCAGTGTGAGCTGTTCCCAGCTCCCCTTGGCTCTCAGAATTATTCTACTGGCTCCTTTCTTGTGGTTTTTCACCGGTCCTCCCTCAGACAGTTTCTTCATAGACAGCTGAAGATGTAAGGGGAATCTTCCTTCAGGTCTTCTTCCCTCCTGTACTGTACCCTGCAAGCCCTAGCTGCCTTGGCCTCCCATCTCTGAGCTCTGTCTTCTTGATTCAGTGAAACACCAGGCTCTCTTAAGCAATATTGGGACAGGATAAGGGCTCACCTCACTTGTTTCCCTTTTCTCAGGGATTATTGCCCTATGCTGCCTTTTGTCCAGTGTCTGAAAACCATTTTTATTTGATTTCATATATTTTATTTGATTTTTCAGAAATTTAAAGAAAAAGGTTAAATCCAATCATGGATAGAAATGGAAGCCCTAGCATGGAACTATACGAAATAACAGTCTTTTACCTAACTTACGTTAGCCCATCAGCTCCCTCACCTGCCCCCATCTCAAGAGTAACTGGTGTATTCATTTTCACACCCTTTCAAAGCATGCAGATGTGCATGAGCACATACATGCAGATTGAGTTTTGTTTTGAAATAGGAATGTGTGTACAACTTGTATTATAATATGTTGCTTTTCATAGTAAGTCATGTTAGTGTGTGTTGACAACCAGTTCCAATGATGAGAGATGGTCATTGATCAGCTGCCTCCTTCGTGCCCAATCCAGGCATGTGCCCTGACCAGGAATTGAACCATGACCTCCTGGTTCATAGGTTGATGCTCAACCACTGAGCCATGTTAACTAGGCTATAGCAAATCTATTTTACTTCTTTTTTGTTTTGTCTTGTTTTTTGTTTTGTCTTGTCTTGTTTTGTTTTGTTTTTAGGGAGAGTGGAGAGTGGAAGAGAAAGGGAAAAACAGAGAGAAACATTGATGTGAGAGAAACACATCAATTGGTTGCCTCCTGGATAAGCCCTGGCCAGGGCCTGGGCCAAGGAGGAACCTGAAACCAAGGTATGTGCCCCTGACCAGAATCGAACCTTTGGTCCACTGGCCAGCATTCTGTCCACTGTTACCCACTGTGCCAAACCAGCTAGGGCTTACTTAGTTTTTATAAAATCTGTCTCCTCTAAATTTTTTTATAAAAATGAGACTGCAGTCTGGAGTAAAATCTCAGGGATATAGTTTTTATGTTTATTTATTATTTGTTCCACTAATTCAATAAACTATATAATATTGCCGTTATTTTATTTCAGAGTAATATTTGAGGAAATAATGGAAGCTTACTAGTGTGGAGATTATTGTAATTTCAAAATAAACCTCTTGGAAAATGAATACATTCTAGAAATTTGCAATCTAGTGTCACATAAATCAGCCAGGAAAAATAAATCCTCCTATCTAATGAAAGAGTAACATGCAAATTAATCATCACTGCTACACCCATAACCCACACCCACCAGCCAATCAGGAGTAACTATGTAAATAAACCCAACAAAGATGGCTATGGCCACAGAGAGCAGGAGGGAGGCCTGCCCTTGCCGGCCTAAGCCTCCTCTCAAAGCTACAAAGTTTCAATGATAGAAGATAAATAAATTCAAACAGAAATGGTGGCAGCCATGGAACTGGAAAGAGCGGGAGGCTAGGGTTATCCCCATCGATGGAGGAAGCCAAGCTTTCCACACACCCTGGCCTGCCCAGGCCTCCGCTTAAGGCTACAAAGTTTCAATTATAGAGAAACATAAATCCCAACAGAAATGGCTGGCGCCATGCAGCAAGCAGAAGGCTTGGCTCCTCTCCAGGCTACAATGTTTGAATTGTAGAAGATAAATAAACCTCAGATACCAGGGCCTCCACTTGGGTCACCAGGGGTGTGTAGCTGGCCTGCAAATCACCACAGGCCCCTTGCCCAGGCTGCCCCCATGCCCCAGGAAACCCCCACCCTGATCCGGGACATCCTTCAGGGCAAATCAGCCAGCCCCCACCCATGCACCAGGCCTCTATCCTATCTAATACAAGAGTAATATTCAGATTGATCATCACACCAACACATAAGATGGCTGCCCCATGTGGTTAAAGATCTTTTCCCTATGTGGACACAAGATGGCTAGCAGGGGAGGAAAGTTGAGAGGGACCAGGCCTGCAAGGGAGGGCAGTTGTGGGCAATCAAACCAGCAAGGGAGGGCAGTTGGGAGGAACCAGGCTTGAAAGAGAGGGCAGTTGGGGGCAACCAAGCCTGCACGGGAGGGCAGTTAGAGATGACCAGGCCAGCAGAGGAGGGAAGTTGGGGGTAACCGGGCCTGCAGGGAAGGGCAGTTGGGAGGGACCCAGGCCTGCAGGGGAGAGCAGTTGCGGGGGACATGGCCTGCAGAGGAGGGCAGTTAGGGGTGACCAGGCCTGCAGGGGAGGGCAGTTAGGCATCAATCAGGCTGGCAGGGAAGTGGTTAGGGTGTGATCAGGCTGGCAGGCAGAATTGGTTAGAGGCAATCAGGAAGGCAGGCAGGCAAGCAATTGAGAGCCAGCAGTTCTGGATTGTGAGAGTGATGTCCAACTGTCCCCAAAGGATCCTAGATTGGAGAGGGTACAGGCTGGGCTGAGGCCCAGATTTTGTGCACCAGGCCTCTAGTAGCTATAATAGATATTTGGAAATGGCTTGATTGAGGAAGTAAACATTTACTTCTCTTACCTTAACTAGTAAAAACAAACCACTCTTATTTTAGGCAGGTGCTCACTTATTGATAGTCTAGAAACTAACTATAGATGGCCTGAAGGGACAGGAGGGCTCTTTTTTGCTTGTAGAGCACTGAGCATAAATCAGAAGACCCAGATTCAAGTCACTGCTCTATCACTGGGATCCATTCTGAGCTTCAGTTTCCTGGGTTCTGCCTGATGATAGGGTTGTCATGAAAAGCAACTGAGTTAATTAAATGAAATGCTTTATAATTAAGAGCTTTTCCAGTGTAAGGTACTGTCATTTGCTTGAATAATTGAGGGAATGAGATGTTACTTGAAATCATATTTTTACCTAAGGGTTATATAAATTATGCATTTGTTGCTGTTTAGTGATGATCGTTAAATTAGGTAAGTAACTTGCCACTTTTCTGGCTCAAAGAGCAATAAGAAAACAGAATATGGGAGCTGTGTTTATATAGTTTATCCACTAGGTGGAGGTATACATCTGTTGTGTTAGTGTATGCTCGCTTTCAGTCTATTTATTGGGAGAAAAATTATGAAAAGTTCACAGTAAAGTATTTTCTCTAAGATCTCATATGTTCAGTTAGGCTTTATTTTGAAAATAAAGTCAATATATTTAAACAAATATGGAATAATTGGTAATTCCATAATGCTGGAGTTACTAATTTATTAATAATATATTATTGCAGTTGAAGCTTTCTTCTCAGATTGCCAAGTTATCATTCTTGGTATGTTTGCATCATCTTAAAATCATTTTTATATTTCATATTTTTCTTTTATAAAAAAGTTTGATGAAAAATGTGCAGCTTCTTAAAATAGAGACAGACTCTAGATAGAGAGCAGGCAGACAGTTCCAAGGAGTGTGAAGGGGTATGGAGGGGAATCAAGCAAAAAGAGAGCTCACGGACATGAACAACAGTGTGCTGATTTGGGGGGGGGGGGGGGGGGGGAGAATAGGTGGAAGAGGAAGAGGGCCCAGAGGAGGGGTACATGGTGATGGGAAAAATTAAATTCTTTTTTTTTTTTTTTTAAGAATGTGCAACATCTTAATAGTTTTCAAAATTGTGATTCATTTATTTTCTTAAAAATTAATTTTTATTGTCATACTTTGCAGATCTCATTTAAGGCCCAAAACAAAAACATGTTTCAGTGGAGCAATTTAGCCCTGGCCTCTGTTGATGTAAAGTACCAATTTTTTGTTGTTTTTTAAAGATATTTCAAGGAAACAAAGATTATCACCAGGATGTGCGTAATAACTTTTTGCCACCAATTATTGCACGTTTTATTAGAGTGAATCCTACCCAATGGCAGCAGAAAATTGCCATGAAAGTGGAGCTGCTGGGATGCCAGTTTATTCTTAAAGGTAAAGCAACAGTATATTTCAGACATGTTATTTTCACTGGATTAATTAAAAATACTAATTATGTGCTGTTCTCAGAGAAGGTAGTTAATAACAATGTGTTTAACCTCTAAATTATATTATCTTCTTAAAGGAATTTTAAAAAAGAAATAGTTATCTTAAAAAGTTAGACATCAAAATTATTTTCAAATTACAAGTTGGATAGAGGGCATCATTCAATGAGATGATGTAGTGAGATTGCTTTCCAAATCTATTCTCAATCTTAATTTTTAGTCAGGTCTCATGTAATGTAACATTCATATCACATAAACACTAATGATTGATTATAATAGTAACCTCAGTCTAAATGACTTTTACTTTAAATAAATTAAAAGTGGGAGTAACTTCCTTCAATATTATATAATGTCTTAATACTTTGTTTACTGTTGACTCTAAGAACTACCACAGTGCCTGACATATAGGGGGCCTCCATAAATATTTCTCAAATGAATTCATGGGTAGTCTATCAAAATGTAATGAAATTTTTAAAGCTTTAGAGTTCAACATCATTTGCCTTCCCATTATTTTCCTTCTTAAGAAGATTACACTCAGACAATTTGTTTAAAAACTGAGAAATCTCAGTATATATGTGCTTTTATGTACAGAATATATTTATTCTTCTGACATATTTCTCTGAGATTTAAAATTACTGTGAAGTATTAAGTATTCTAGGAAATGGGAAAGACATTTAAATTATTACTTTTAACTATGGTTTTTATAAGCAAAGCGTGTCAACTTTTTTAAACCATTTTTTCCAGGTCGTCCTCCAAAACTTACCCAACCTCCACCTCCTCGGAACAGCAATGACCTCAAAAACACTACAGCCCCTCCAAAAATAGCCAAAGGTAGGCCTCCTTTGAACATGAAATGTTCACATTCCCTGGATTTACGATGTAATTTTCCATAAATATGTTAAAAAGCATTTTAAAATAACTTAATTTTAATCAAGTTTATGTAGGTAAAAGAATAAAGTTTTAAAATCTTTTTTTTAAGGTCGCGGCCCCAAATTTACTCAACCACTACAACCTCGCAGTCACAATGAATTTCCTGCACAGACAGAACAAACAACTGCCACTCCCGATATCAAAAACACTACCGTAACTCCAGATGTCACCAAAGGTGGGCGAACCCCGCGTTCACACCTGTTATGTAGTCGTTTTACTGTTTCCAACTTAAGTTTTCAAGAACATTTCTAGCTTTTAAACCTTTTCCTCGGACTTGTGTATTTTAAGTATAGCAAAAAAGTTGATTCCCTTTCTTGGGAAAAACTGACTGCTTTGCTCAAAGTTCTCTTCTCTTGAGCCATGTAGAATTACTCTTTAAATTTTTATGGATGGCTGCTGTATTCTAGGCCTCCTCTTGCAATTTTTGTCCCTATATAGCAAAACACATAGAGTCTCATACCTAGAAATGTTTCTAGAAATAACTAAAAGCATAGCAGAAAACATTTTTTTTCTTTATGATATATTAATTTGCTGGATAGGGAACTTGGCAGCAAAAAAAAAGGGAAGATTAAAAAACAAGTTTTGGTGAAACTTTTGTTTAGGGTTAGAGTAATAACTTTTTAATAACTTTAAAAAAATATTCTGATTTAACATATAAAAGCAGTCTCTGTTCTTAAAATGTTTACTATTATAACTTTTTAGATTATCAATATAAATGTATTGGTAGAATTTACTTTCAGATTTTATTAATGATAAGTAAGGTACTAACATATACAAAGCATAGTAGCTCTTTGATTTTATAGCTTGTCAAGAAACAAAATTTCAGTTGAATACAGAAAACAAAGCCTCGGTGTTCTGGAGGAATTAATTTCAGTGTTGGCAGACAAATAAAGCACACTTATTTTCAAGACAGCGCAGAGATGAGAAAGCAATTCATCTGTAGTAACTTGTGCCATGTAAAACTTGAATCACTCTCTTTTTCTGAAAATTTGTCTGGATTCATATAACTTTCTCCAATTTTTCAAGTGTCAGTTTCTTTCCTATCTTCCAAACAGACTGATTTCTTTCTTATGCCACAGGAAAATCTAGAGGGAAGCGAGAATTCTCAGAGCCAAGAGATCTTAGCATCCACAGAGGAGTACTTACAGCTTGCAGAAGGCATGCAAGAATCTCAGGCCACATGTCTGGAGGGAGGAACAGTCATTTTATTGTTCAAAATCTGATTATAGAACCTTAAAATCTCAAACTAAAAGTGTCCTTAAAGCATTATCTTCCAGAAGTAGGATCCCTGTAAGATTAAAAAAAATAACAAAGAATGTGCAGGTCTTTTTAATTGAAGAGCTCTTGTCTCCTTTTCTCTGGAAAAGTGATGTATAGACCCAAATCTAAGCAGGTGGTTTAGAGCCTCTGATTAAATCAAACTGTATCCATATGAACCTCATTCTTCTCTCTCCAGCTTCACTCACTAATTTTAGAAATAAAAAAGCATATTTACTTTCTGAAGGTTTAATGCTGTCTAACCTGACAGGATTTGTTTTATACACGCTTTCTCCATTTTCACATTCAGACTGCAAGTGATGACGGCGGAAAGCAGCTCCTAGTCAGGTTTGTGCCATGATAGCTTCCCGCTCCTCCTCCACAGGACCTCAGTGGCAACCAGTAGCCTTTCTGTTTTCCATGTCACCTCTTCTAACTGTTCTCAACAGTTGCCTCCATATTTTTTAAACCTGTGACTCAAAGATATTCACTCACTCCCAATAACCTCTTCAACGTCACAAAGAAAGTAGAAGCCATTAGAAGGAAACTCCCTTTTTGTGGGACCTACAAACTCACCTGTACCCCTGTCCACTTCAGTAAAAAAGAGGGGACTCCACATACTACCCAACACTAGTCACTTCTCCTGAGCCCTGGCCTTATTCACCCAGCTTCTCAGAGGGCCCCTGTTATTGATCATCCTCTCCCTGTCCTGTTTTCGTCAGCCTCTTTCTGTCTTGGATACAATTATAAATGCATAAGGCGTGGCACAGTGTCTGGCACTCAGCCCCCAGTGGACATCAGCATCTGTGCTATCCTCATGCCAGGAGGGGTTGACAGATGAAGGAAGAAACTAATGTTGCAAATGACTAGGCAGCCCATTTTCTGCATCTGTGGAGTGAGATAAGGGGATTAAATGAGCTCTTCCCTGTAGGATCCAGCACTGTGTCAGTTCCTGCCCTGTTGATATACACCTTGGGTTTCTATACTTAATTGTCACCTTTCAGTATAAATAAATACTGTGCCTTTGTACTGAAACATCATTTCCATTTGCTGGGAATATTTTCCTATAAGGATGTCCTTACTCCTTTTCATTGTTGGGTATTTGGATTATTTCCAGAAACAAACAACTCTAAAGACACATCCTTTACTGTCATCTTTATTTTAGCCTAAGAATAAATTCTAAATGTGGACTTGCTAAGTAATTGTTGTTTATACGTATTGCCCCAAAATGATACAGAACATATTATTTTGTTATTATTTTGTATTCCCATAAAAATACCTTTTCAACAATTAGTTATCTGTGTGTGTGTGTGTGTGTGTGTGTGTGTGTGTATAAAAAGCCAGCGACCGTAACGCTGTAATGACCAGAACAACTGGTCACTATGATGCCCACTGTGGCCAGTGAACCAGCCCAATCTGGGGGTGGGGCCAGCCAGCCAACATCCCATGGCCCCTCCCCAGCCACTGACCCCTGATTGGCCCCCTCACCCAAATCAGGGGCAGGGCCTGCAGCCTCTCCCTCCAACCAGCCATTCCTGATTGGATGGGTTGGCCAGCCAACATCCCACTATCTCTTCTTGACAGGCCCAGCTCCAATCCATGCACAAATTCGTGCACTGGGCCTCTAGTTTTAAATAATTGCCAATTTGATAAGCAGAAATATGATCTTATTCTTGTTCTAACTTCTATTTCTCTGATTACTAGTGAGGCTAACATGTTGAATGGTCACTTGTTCTTTTAAATGTATTGTTCATTCCTCCCTGCAACTTTTCTATTCTTTGTTTTTGACTTGTATATTCTGTTGCATCTTAATTATAGTAACTCTTTATCAATATGCAGAAGATATTATCTTCATTTATCATTTGTCTTTCAGTCATTGTCTTGGTGATTTAAGAAGTTACTGTGGTGGTAATTACATGGTTGAGTATTGACCCATGAACCAAAAGGATGAAGGTTCGATTGCCTATCAGGGCACATGCCCCGATTGCAGGTTCAGTTCCCAGTAGGGGCATGCAGCAGGCAGCTGATCGATGTTCTGCTCTCACATCCATGTTTTTCTTTCTCCCTCTCCCTCCCTATCTCTATAAAAATCAAAAGTTACTATGAAATTTTAAAAACATAAAGGAGGATCAAATAATGTGATAAACTTTCACACATCCATGAAAGCTCCTGAGGTTACCAACTCATGCCTACTCTCATTTCATAAATAATGCTTATAGTATTTCTTGAGATAGAAACCTTTGCTAAAATGGCTCATTCTCACTGTTTCCAGTCATAATTTCTGCCTTTGGTCTATTTCAGATGTAGCCTTGGCTGCAGTGCTTGTCCCTGTGCTGGTCATGGTCCTCACCACTCTCATTCTCATATTAGTGTGTGCTTGGCATTGGAGAAACAGGTTAGTAAATAAGCAATTCACCTAGTGGGTCCTAGAAGAGGGTGTTTTCAAATGTGAAATAGAAACTAAATACAGAAGATGAACTATAATTTGTCTTTTAGAGAAGGGAGCATTAAGACAGTCCTTAAAATAAAAATGCATGTTTCTTCCATATTCCCATAAAAATGAGTATGTTCAGTTACAGTCAGTTCCTGAGTACCTTTATTGCATCAAATTTTGCAATGCACACTGAAATACACAGATTAATAAGAAAAATGTCTAACATATATGTGCTTAGTAATATTTACTGAAAGAATGAAACATAACTATCTTCAAGGTGTTGGAAGGATTTATTGGCACAAAATGAGGAACTATAATGCAGTTTGATGAGTCACTTAGGAAGTGCCAGAGGACACAAATGCAAGGACCATGAGAGTTTTCTGAAATTCTTAAAATCAGCATGTTTTAGTAAAAAGAAAGACTTGGATTTGGCTAGGTTGTGGAAGGTATAGACCACCCAGACTGAGAGAACTATTTAAGCAAGGGCACAAAGATGCGGGATGTGGGCAGCATCGTGAGTCATCGGACATGGGTTGGCCTAGGAGAGCACTGAGAAAGAACCTAGAAGTGCAGCCTGGACCAGGATCAGGGAGAGAGAAATCTAGATTGCATTCTCTAGGGAAGGAAAATCATTGGAGTGCATGAAGCAGATGATTAGACAAAGAGAGTGGCTGCTGTTTGCAGAGTGGATTGAAGGGGAGAGACTAGAAGAGACAGAAAGATGAAGTAGGAAACTGCTGAGGCCTGGCAGAAACATAGCAATTCTAGAAAAAAGAGACATGAGTGGGAGAGATGTCCCAGGGGCATTGGTGGGGTGATTACTGGTTGTCATGGTGAGGAACCCAAAGTTTACAGAATGGGAGAGAATACAGTACAGAAAACTTGTGGCTGTGATACCAGCATGGATCCCAGTGGATCCCAGATTCATGGTGTTGGGGATGTTATCTAACAGATAAATGAAATATATGTTTTTCATTTATATATAAAGCACAAAGCAAAATACAAAATTACAAACAAATAGAAAAGAATACCAACAAAAAAATGGAAACATCGAATTAAAAAATTATAAATTTTACAAACAACTATAAAGATTACAAAAAATATATATCGTCCCTCTCAGAGTGCAACATATATTTCAAGGACGTATTCATACGTCCTACCCGTTCCAGATATTGTTTACATTTGACATATTTATAGGTCCCGCTCGGTTAACAGGTTAATTAGATTTACATGCTTGAATCAGAAACTGTCCTTTGTAAAAGTTTCTTGGTAGATAGCAATTCTTAGCGGAGGGATGAGAGACTTCTCCTGGGGAGTATATGTCAGAGTTCTGAGTGTGGACTGGGCAGAATCTTCTCTGTTGTACCCGTGGCTCTTACCTCCCAGGCCCAGAGAAGCCTTTTCTCCCCTCTGTGATACTGACTCACCCTGGGACAGTTGGGGGAATTCAGTCTATACAATGAGGGTATATGACTCTTGGAACTTCTCTGGGACAAAGGACCATAGAAAAATGGACAAAATTTGAAATATAACAATGCAGGAGAAAACGTTGGATTTTTTTTTTTTTTTAATTGTTCTGTGAAGTTTTTTTTTTTTTTTAACCAAATCAAACCTGACATGATTTCCCATAAAAACCCACATGTCATGTCTGGGTCTTTGATTTAATTCAGTCTCTTTATCTACAGACTGAACCTTTTTTATTTCTTATTTTTAAATATTTGGGTAGCCAGATAACTGTCCCAGGAGGCAGTTAATGTTTATTGAAAATCCAGAATTTATGAGCCTGGACAAAGTCAAATGAAATAGAGGCCTCCCTTGGGTAGATCAGTAAGCGGGAATGTGTGCTCTTGACTAATTATTAACTTTGGTGTTTATCCTGCAGTTTCAGAGCTATCTTACTTGTGAATTCATTCTATTTGCTAACTTTCTTTTCCTGTATTTTTCCAGAAAGAAAAAAACTGAAGGCACTTATGATTTACCTTACTGGGACCGGGCAGGTAACTCATGACTTTGCATCTCTTTCTGTCAGCGCGGGAAGCCCCTCCCTTCTAGATGGCAGCAGGGGAGGAGTGTTTTCAGACCCACTGACATTTCCCAGCACTGCGGAAGGTGGCATTCCTTCTCTCTTCTGATCATTTTTACTCTTCTAGTCAATAAGTAGTGAAATGGAAAGGAATTATTTTCTTCTGGAAAACCTGTCTGGCTTTTGCCATTATCTATTCAGCTTTCTTGGAGGCCTGTGTGAACACTGTAAGAGGCAGAGGGTTTTGGTTCTAGTAAAAGTATGTGTGTGTCACTCTGCTCTGGGTATTTAAGTGGAGTCCAGCAGTTAGGAGTCCTGAAGTCTGCCATGTCTGCTGTGATAAGTTGTCATCTTTTGAATTCCAACTCTGTATGGTAGGTGGCAGATTGCTGCAAGTTACACCAGGGCCCCATGGGTCCCCCACCTCCCTGCCTCACTACCAGAAGAGCTTTTAGGAGCCAAAAGGGCTCACCACTGTGACCAGGGCAGACAAGAGCAGGGTGGGAGCTAATCAGGTGCTGCTAGGATAGATCTTGGGAAGTATTTAAGAAACAGCCACAACATTTTTCAACCACCCCTACCACAGACAGACTATATCTGACTAGTGATCTGCTTCTGTATACGCTTTTGATAGAGATTCCTACCATATTATGTATGCTTTACTGTATATCCTATCAAAGCAAAAAATAATCTTGAAAAACTTAAGGAACTAGAAAAAAAAAAGAATAAACTAAACCCAAAGCTACCATAAGAAAGGAAATATAAAGATTAGAGCAGAGATAAACAAAATAAAAAGACAATAGAGAAAAATCAAAAGTTGGTTCTTTAAGAATATCAACAAAAGTGACAAACATTTAGATAGATGGACTTAGAAAAAAGGAGAGAAAATTAAAATTACTAAAACCAGGAAAGTGGGGACATTATCAATTCTATGAAAATGCAAAGGAGTATAAATCAATACTATGAACAATTGTATACCAAAAAAATTGAATAATCTAGATGAAATGGATAAATTCTTAGACACAAAACTTACTAAGACTAAATCATGAGGAAATAGAAAATCTGAATAGACCTATAACTAGTAAAGGGATTGTGTTAGTAATAAAAAATTTCCCAACAGACAAAAGTCTTGGACCTGATGGCTTCATTGGTAAATTCTACCAAACATTTTAAGAAGAGCTAAACCTTAAAGATTCCACACATAGAAATAGCTGTTACAACTAATAAGTACATTCATCAAAGTGGGAGGATACAAAGTTAACACAAAAATCAATTGCATTTCTATACATCAATTATCATTAATCTGAAAAGGAAATTATAAAAATAACTCAATTTATAATAGCATCAAAAAGAGTAAAATACTTAGGAATTAACCAAGGAAGAAAAAAGACTTACACAATGAAAACATTGCTAAAATAAATTTTAAAAGACAGAAAAGGAAACATCCTATGCTCAGGGGTTGGTAGACTTAATATTGTTAATATGTAAGACTATCCAGAGCAATTTACAGATTTATTAGGAATCTCCATCAAAATCTCTGATAATTTTTGCAGAAGTAGAAAAATCCATTCTAAAATTTAGGACACATAATAGACAAAATAGTCTTGGAAAAGAACAAACTTGGAAGCCTCACACTTTCTAATTCCAACACTTAATTACAGGGCAATCAAAATAGTGTGATATAGGCATAAAGAGAGACGTATAGACCAATGGAATAGAATAGAAAACCCAAAAATAAGGCCTTACAAATATGGACAAATGATTTTGACAAGGGTGTACAAACTATTCATTGGAGAAAGGAGACAGTCTTTTCAACAAATGGTGCTGGGGAAACTGGATATCCACATGTAAAAGAATGAAGTTGCACCCTAGCCTAACACTACTTAATAAAATCAACTCCAAGTGACCAAGGACTAACATATAAGACCTAAAAACAATAAAATTCTTACTAGAAGAAAACCTATGACAAAAGCTTCATGACATTAGATTTGGCAGTGATTTCTTTGACACAAAATGATCAAATAAAAGAAAAACTAGACAAATTGAACTTCATGAAAAATTTAAAATTTTGTGTATCAAAAAACACTATCCATAGAGTAAAAAAGGCAACCCATGGTATGGAAGAAAATATTTGCAAATCATATATCTGATGAGGAATTAATATTTAGAATATGTAGGGTATTTCTAAAATTCAATAGCATATAAATAGCTCAATTTAAAAATGGGCAAAGGACTTGAATGTGTATTTTCCAAAGAATATCTATAATTGGCCAATAAGCACATGAACAGATGCTCATCACTAATATTTAGGGAAATGAAAGTCAAAACTATGCTTAGATACCACCTCACACCCATTTAGAAGGGGCCTATCAAAGAAAACAAGCGTTGGTGAAGATGTGGAGAAATTGGAAACCTTGTGCACTGTTGACGGGAATGTAAAATGTTACAGCTTCTGTTGAAAACAATATGGTGGTTCCTCAAAATATTAGCAGTAGAATTGCCATATGATTCAGCAATTCTACTTCTGTGTATACATCCAAAATAATCAAAAGCAGGGTCTTGAAGAAATATTTTCTACGCCCATATTCATTAGCAGTGTTATTCACAACAGTTAAAATGTAAAAATATCAACAGATGAATGGATCTGTAACATATATATGCAGTGGAATATTATTCATCTTTAAAAAAGGAAATTCTGTATTATGCTATAATATAGATGAACCTTAAGACCTTATGCTAAGAGAAATAAGCCAGTCACAGACACACACACACACACACACACACAAACACACACCCAAAAACCCACACACAAATACTGTATGATTCCACTCCTAACTTAGAATAGTGAAAATCATCAACACAGGTAATAGAATGGTGTTTGCCAGAATCCAAGGAAAGGGAGACTTAGGGAGTTACTGTTGAAGGGAGACTTGTGGAATTCCAGTTGTACAAGATACAGAGATGGATGATGGTAATGGTTGCACAATAGTGTGAATGTATTTAATACGCTGAGCTGTATACTTAAAAGTGGTGAAGATAACAAATTTTGTATTTTACCACAATAAAAAAAAGGACGCTTGAACATAAAGGCTAGTTTGTTTAGATATTGGTTATAGACATGTTAAATACAACAGGATTTTTGTTAATACACGGCTGCGGTTTCAGACAGGTTTTCCTTTAATGGTCTCTCTTGCTTTCCGCCACAATGAAGGTTGGTGGAAAGGAATGAAGCAGTTTCTCCCGGCCAAGTCCGTGGAGCATGAGGAAACCCCCGTTCGCTACAGCAGCAGTGAAGTCAATCACCTGAGCGCGAGAGAGGTCACCACAATGCTGCAAACGGACTCTGCAGGTAACTCCTGGAGCCTTCAGCCCAGGTAGAGGGAGGAGCTGCTCTGCTTGCTGTGGGATTTACAGTATCTTTTATCTTTTTCATGTGCGAGAGATGAGCTATTTTCCAAAGTAGACCACTTTGTTAAAAGATTAACTTGAGAGAGTAATTTCTGTGCCTCAGAAGTTCTATCTGTAAAACTGAGCCATTTCTAAAAATTACGGGCATTTTTTTGTCTCTTTAACTGGAAAGCTATTTGGTTTTATTGAGGATATATGAGTATTATAAGAAGAGCAGGAGGAAATCAGACGTGTAATGTTTTGGTGTACGAGATGGTGCGCCAACCAACTGAGCCACCTGGCCAGGGGCCAGGGCCCAAATATTATTCTTGACAAGCAAAAATTCTGATTAAAGTTAAACTGAATGGGTTATATTCAGAGTCAGAAGGTCTACATTTTTAGAGAGAGAAATAGAGAGGCTTTCTCAGACACACCCTCTGGGGATTGAAATCACAACGGGGGCATGTGCTGAGACCGGGAATCAAACCAGCAACCAACCTTTTGGTCTATGGGACAGCACTCAACAACTGAGCCACACTGGCCAGGGCAGGGGGCCTAAATTTTTTAAAGGAAAGCTACATCCTGCCCTTTTTTCTTGTTAGAGAATAACAAGAAATAAATGAATCCCTATAGTTAGCCCAGCACAGGCAGCTTTGAGCCTCTGCCTGGCTTGGTCATTCGTTGTGAATGTATCTTTAAGCGCTTAAGCCGCCCTCCTGTGTATTGGTGGATTGGCAATGCAGTGTGTCCAGTCACCTTCCCCTCAAGGGTCTAACCCACTCAAGTAGTTTTAGTTTTTAGTGGAAGAATCCATTGGTAACCACGGTTTTAGACTAGGTTTCAAGTCTCAGAGTTTTATAAACTTGATTCTTTCTTGAAGCTAAAAAGGGCTTTTGGAGTTAAGATCTTCATTCACTCATATGATCTCTGCTATTCAAACTGATTATAAAGCACCTGAAATTTGACTGCTTTAATGAAGTCAGGTTTACAGAGGTAGAGTTGCTTCCAGTGATCTCAGGTACTAGAGCCTCCGTACCCGATGGAACAGCCGAGTGTTTGGGAGACTGAGCTGGTTCCCAAGGCACTGCGGCCCCTCGCTGTGAGGACTGTTAGCTGGTCGATGGGCTGCGGCCTCCCACGTGCACACGTGGTTTGTTTTAAGACAGGGCTGTTTCTGAAAATTTGGTGTGAAATTAACAAATTTGATAGGTAAGGGCTTGAAGGTGTCTTGTGAAGAAGTTACTCCTTTTGGTGTATAAATATTTCTCCCGCAATCTTACCCAGTTGGTGGCTCAGCTTTTCGTAGCTTGCCTTTTCTTTGAGTTATAACTGTACTTTGGTGAGGAGACTTAACACACCAGGTCCTAGGGAGTGAGCTTAGTTAGAGCAGTACTATGGGAATCCCAACACGGTGTCTTCCGTTCATTCCAGGCTTGGGAGGAGTTGAAAAGGGACAGGTGGAACTCTTGTGCTGACAAAGCAGAGGTGTAGGCCGTCCGACTGAAATACGGTAAATAGGTTGGGAGAGTTAAATTTCAGAACTCTGACTAGGGTGTGTATTTATAAGGTAAAAAAATGCTTACTTCACCATCATGAAATCTTGTTATTTCCACAGGAAGCTCCTGCGAAGTGGTGGCATTAGAGGATGTAAGAGGCTGTGGTGGGCTTGAGGCATTTCAGACTTCATTGGATGGTCACCTGGCTAACAGACTGGGAGGGTTTAGGGTATTTGGTTTTGGTTTTGGTATTAGATAGAACTAAATGCAAAAATCAGTTAAGTCTTTTCAAGACTGACTTAGATTTGTACTTTAATGTATGAAAGGAAAGGGAATATCAAACTTGTTTATGCAAAAATAACACTGTATAGAAAAATAAGTCTGTGTTGTGTGTACTGATATGTACTTTATATTTACCCAATGCCTGTGCATCTTTGTGTTCTGCTATGAATTTTTGTATGAAGAACAGGCATCTAAAAACTTAAGGTTGTAAAAGAAAGATTTTTTTTAAAAAATGTTGCCATTTGATTAGGTGGTGTGTTAAGGCTTCATGTTTAAATGATAACTTTAAGAATAACACAGGACCAGCTAGTTTGGCTCAGTGGATAGATCGTTGGCTTTAATGGAAGGATCCTGGGTTCGATTCTGATCAAGAGCACATGCCCAGGTTGCAGGCTCAATTCCCAGTAGGGGTTGTGCAGTAGGCAACCTGTCAATGATTCTCTCTGATTCTTGATATTTATCTCTCTCTCTCTTCCTTTCCCTTCTTCTCTAAAATTAATAAAAATATATTAAAAAAAAAAAAAAAAAAGAATAACACATTTTGCTTGGAATATGCCGCCATCCAGAAAAATGGCTGCTTTTCTCTATTGTACATATGTGCGTACTGTTCATTATTAGATGGTAAGCTCCTCCAGGACAGGAACTGTCTGTTTCGTCTTGGTACTTCCAGCAGCACCGAAGGGCAGGTGCCCTGCACAGGAAGGTGCTCATAGTCTGCAGAAGGAGTGAGGAACTTCCTGCCACCTTTAAGATGGAGCATGGTTCACTTTTCCCGGAGTGTTCGAAGCTGCGAGGAACCTCATGACCAGAAGAGGGTCAACTTCTTTCTTGGGTTTGAACTGAGCTTCTTGGGTTGAACTACGCTGTGCCATATCCTCAGCATCATTCAGCCTTCCTTTCCTGAACTTACTGTGCCGGCGAACTGAGCTTTTATCTCATATTAGGGCAGAGATTTCTGGGCAAGTTTGAAGTAGGGCAGATTTTAGAGAAAATGTAATAGAAATCTCGGAGGGTGTCTGTTAATGTGTAGCCCTGTTATTATAAAGAAGGTATAACAGGCCCTCTGTCTTTCCCGTCAGCTGCCAGCCAGCTCTCTACCTAAGGAATCACCACTGGTTTCTAGCTTTTCTCCATTTTGGATTCTCCTGTTGCCCATCTGATTCTGGTTCTTAGAGTCTAATAAAAGTTGCTGTGAATATCAGGTGCCGTACGTAATGGCAGTTTTGTAAAAATGTGATGACATAAACTCAAATATGTTGTGTTTTGTATGCAGAGCCACTAGTATTGTTATCCCGGCCAATTTTTTATTCAAAATAAATAAATAATAGAATTATTTGTTAAAAAAAAAAACAAAAAAAAAAACATACACATACTGAGACTTACAGTACTTATCAAATTACCCTGGCCTGTATTTATTGTAAACATTTCCTCATATTTGGGGGAAAAAACAACTCTGAAATTATATTCTAATGCTATTCCATCAATGGAAAATTTCTTTTCTATTGAAAGACTGTATGTATCTGAAGAACATATACAAACACTCTTTATGCAAAATTACATGAACAGTGAAGTTTTCTGGCATATTATTACCATGATCCACAAGATAACAACTTTTAATTTTTGAAGTTGGTCCTTACAGGGTCTGTGTTGATAGCAACAAAAGTTCCATGGCGAAGTTTTCCCTTTGGTGTAAGACTGTAGTTCGCACCCTAAGTTATATGAGGCCTGTATCAAAGAGGTAACATTTCTGTTGTCCCTTGTGATTCCCGCAGAGTATGCCCAGCCGCTCGTGGGAGGAATTGTTGGCACACTTCATCAGAGGTCTACCTTCAAACCAGAGGAAGGAAAAGAAACCGGCTACGCTGACCTAGATCCTTACAACTCCCCGATGCAAGAAGTGTATCACGCCTACGCTGAACCACTCCCAATTACGGGGCCCGAGTATGCAACCCCCATTGTCATGGATATATCGGGGCACACCCCAGCTCCAGTTGGTCTGCCTTCAACATCCACTTTCAAAGCCACAGGGAACCAGCCGCCGCCTCTGGTGGGAACGTACAACACCCTTCTCGCCAGGACTGACAGCTGCTCCTCGGCCCGAGCCCAGTATGATACCCCGAAAGGGGGGAAGCCAGGTCCCAATTCGCCAGAGGAATTGGTGTACCAGGTGCCACAGAGCACACAGGAGGTATCAGGAACAGGGAGGGATGGCGACAGTGATGTTTTTAAAGAAATTCTTTGAAGGTGATGCTGCTTTTTACAAAGCATCGTTTTAAAGCACATGGCCTTTTTTTTTCTTTTTTCTATTAGTGGTAGTAATATATAGAATGTATTACATATCTGTCACGGATGTAGTGGGGGAAGTGTGATGACCGAGGTACAGGAAACTACTAATCTTGCCATCTTGCTTTAGATGTGTTGTAGCTTGCCTATTAAATTCCGAGATCCTGTTTGTTACTACTGTAAAACACTATTTTTTAATACAGAAGAAGCTCCCTACTATGCACTTCAAAGAAATTAAAAATCACTGAGTAAGTATTTATTACCAATGCTGCAGGTACATTTGATGAACTCGATAAGGCTTTGTAAGCCTGACTGGCAATAATGCATGGTACTGTTCTTGAAATGTCTAATGGCTTGAAATTCTGCTTTGTGTGAAGGTGGGTACTATCATGATTTCCTCCTATTCCTGTATTCCTTTCTGGATTTAAATAATAATAATTAATGACACTTAGTCATTGTTTTGATTGTAGTCACACACACTTCTCCATTTTTCCTTAGGAAGAGTTCCAGTGAGAAACCCCAATGTAAGGAGCAGGGTGATTGTCACTTTTTGACGCTTAGGAGCTTTGACACCCATGGTACATGCCTTGGCCTGGTCTCTGCTTATTTCACCTGGGGCCTGGGTGGCCAGTCCTGTTCCTGTGTTTGTAAAATGTTCTGAGTTTTTTCAATGGGTTATACTTGCTCTGTCAAACTTCATGAATTCAAATCCTCAAATGTGTTTAAGTTTACTTCTCACTGTGGAAACAGGGACTTTGCAGTTTAAAAAAAGCTGTGAAAAAGATGCTCCTCCCCTCCACCTTTATTTGCAGTGGGATCTTTCCTAGGGGGTTGTGAAAAGTTGAGGGCTTCCAAGTAGACGCTGTAAACCTGCCCCACTTACATTTCTCACAGTGAAGGCAAAATCATTCTTCAGAAGTCCTGTAAATTACCTTTAAAAAAAGAGAACCAGAATTTGCCCCCCTTTTAAATAGGTAGATTTTTTCCCCCTTTAATCTCAAGGTTTTTCTTTTTAGTGTTTTAGTTTTCCAAAGCAAACTGTAAACTCAATGTGCATTCTTCAGCTCCGGGTGTTTGTGCCTCCTCCCTGTGTGAGAGGGTGAGGAGTTCTTTATCTCATTCGTAGGGAAGAGATGTTACAGCATCTTCACACATGAGTATTCCCCTGGGCACCTTGTAATTTACCCAGACCAGAGCTAAGTTTAGATGGGTGAAATAAAAATCATCTGTAGTTTTATCAGCCTAGAATGTAAAAACCATGGTTAAAAGTCTTTAGGCTGGCAACATGCCATAAGCTGCCCATGTGATTAAAATTTGAAATCCCTTCTGTATACTTTAATTTGCAGTCTAAATAGAAATGTACCTTTCCATCGGGTCCTACTCAATTCTGTTGGCCTGGGCCACCAGATTTCGATGTTGCCAGAACTTGCTAAATTTGAAGGTGAACAGTCTTCATTTTGTTGCTTCCACAAGTATTTATCAGTAATCTAAAACATTGCTTCCAAATAGAACTATTCATTTCTACAGCCTCCCACCCTCTACTTGTATGATCTGTTCATTTGCTTTTCCTTTGCTTTTCCTTTTCCATACATACTATAATTTTACTCATTGAAAACCCAATACATATTTTGTTTCAAAATATTTGAAACAAAAAGCACAGGTACTGAGCTTTTATTAGAACATATGAATGTGTAAAGCACATGTATTAATGCAGCCATCCCCTTTCAGGTGGGAAGAGAGTAAACCAATCGCTTTATTTTTTTATTCATTCTTAGTATAGAGAGAATATACCTTTCCTAAAATCATATACCTGTTTGAAGCTTTAAGAGAAATGTTTTCAATAACTATTTTGTTTTCCCAAAGATGCTTGCTATTTTTGTGTGACTGTGTGCACCTCCTTTTCCCATAGAACCTTTTTTTTTTTTTTTGAGAAGCAAATGTTTTCTTAAATGATGCGTGTTTTAAGACTTGATTCAAAATGCCACTGTGCTGTCCTTGAATTGCCAATGGTTTTTACAAATATCTAGTTTTTACTACTTTTATATATTTTACTTTCAAAATGAAGAGCTGAGCCTAATACAAAGGGTTGTTCTGGTTTTGAACTTTTTCTTTTAGTTTGTTTTCATAGTTTTTTAGTTTGGGTTTTGTTTTGTTTTTTTTGTTTTACTACATTTATGTCTGATATATATACAGCTTTGGAGACAATCAAGTAACAACTGAAAATGTGAAAGTAACCATTTTTTACAAAATGTCCTTGAATTTTTATTTTTTGCTTGAAATACGTAAAAGACTTAAGTCACTGTGGTTTATTGGTTTAAACTCTTTTCCTATTAATACAAGTGTAAAAAAAGAGTCAGACAGTGGTGCAGCCAGTGTAGCCATTACATGTTTTGTAAAATTACACTGACTTCGCTGTTTCTTGATCTTAGGAACCAGCACAGTTAGAGGTAAGATATTGTGAATGCTGGCTTACACTTTATTAAAAGCTATAAATCTAAATAGATCCTATTGTATGCAGGGTCCAGTCCAGTTATTTAAGTTCATGTTTCACTATTTGCACTTTGCATTGAACAATGGGTTTAGTTTGCTGATGAAATGGTCGAGTAGAGAATTTATACAGGAATTGAAATTATGACCTTGTGTAGGTACTTGCCCTTCCTCCCACAGCAGGGAGCAGAAAATGAGCTACTTAAATGTGAATCAGCTCTAATTGTATGGAAAGTGATAAAGCTTCAAATACTTGCCTTGACTCCTTATTGTCACCTGGAGAGCAGGACTGCTATAAAAGCACCATGTCAGGTGATAGGATTAAAAAGAACTAACAGATTGTGCTTTCCAGACCTTTTTAAGAGAAATGAACAACAAATTACCTATTAGCTTTGCCTTTCAATTCTGAACTTGAAGTTCCTAAACCGCAAAATTTAAAGAGTTGGATGGTTATTAAAGTACTTTTTAGGTCAAGTGTGGCACCAATACTCATTTAGTCACACTAACTCGTGACTAGTTTATCTCTCTCCCTCTCTCTCTCTCTTTTTTTTTTTTTTTTTGGCTTTGGGAAGGGTGGAAACAAAACACGCATTGAAAATACATATTGGAAACAAAAAAGGCTTAAGTGTCAGTGAAATTCTCCCAGAATGTACTTTTCTTACCTCGGCATGTACTGTAGTCACTCAGTATTTGTATATGTTGCTAGAATTTAGATTGTATAAATAGTGAGATTTTAATGTGTTCATGTGTTTTTAATAAATTGTATATATGTGTCTTGCTCAGATTTTTTTTTATTTTTTTTTTTGGGGGGGGGGGGGGCTTAACTAAAACCTCCTTGAGGTTTATAGCCTTTTCTTATACTACACAAAATGCCAGATTCCTCAATTTGAACATGAGTCAGAACATTTAATGGCCAATGTCATACTCTTCACAGTGACAGCAGGGAATGCCACCACTGGTTTTGACTTTGATCTTTACTGTAGCCACAGCATCCTTTTTGAAACCGGAGTTACTTCCCCTCAAACTCAACTCCTGCAGCCCCGCGGCAGTCTCCGGCTGTGCAGTGGCAGGGAAAGGTCACTGAACAGGGCGACTTCAGCCTGGCTCCTGCCTATGCCACCTCAGCGTTATTAGAAGAATCAGATGAAATTGGTCCTGCGCAAACGTGTGCTATTAGGAGGACATCATCCTGCGAAAGAAAAAAGCCACATGCTGACCTGACAAGCTCAGGGAAGGCCTGTGTGGCGGTCTTGCAAACCCAGAGACCTAAGATAACCACAAAAGATGGTTTGAAAATTAAAAATCTAACAGGTTATAGTAGGTAGTCATGTCCCAGATGTTTTCCCAGACAAAGATCAACTTTGATCTTTTTACTGAGCCCATTTGCCTTTTTGCCTCTAAGATAACATATCTGTGAGATGTCTGGGTAACTTGTAACTTCCCTTTTTCCGGAGCCCCTGGGGAACAAACAAACCCAATGTGGTGGGTGCCAGGACAGATGCCTCAAATTCCTTCGTAACCATGTTAATTGTTCCTGCACTCACCCGAGTACACGTCCATCATTTTACTTTTTATCCATTCCCAGGAGTTTCCCACCACTTTGCTTTCTCCCACCTCTGTACTCCATCACCAATGAATTTCATGTAACCCACCTATGTCCCTCCTTTCATTTTGGTGTATAAATAGAGAAATATAACCTGCCATTCTTCAGAGCATTATCTCAATCCATTGAGGTTCTGCTTCCCGGCATGTCGACAGTTTTGGCTCAAATAAACTCATAAAAAAATTCTTTACAGGTTTCAGTGTTTTTTTTTTCCGTTAACAATCCATATGTAATGTCTAATCTGGATGAAATCGAGTACTGGTTTTCTCCCCCGAGCCTGCTTTCCAAGTACCTTGTTTATTCCTGTTTCTGGTCTACTCTTCCACCCTTTCTGCACTTTCTTTGGAGAGGCAGGTTGGTTGTCAGTGACATCCATGACTCCCAGTGATAATTATTCAAAAGATGGTAATTCTTGCCCGGCCAGCGTAGCTCAGTGGTTGAGCATGGACCTATGGACCCAGGAGGTCGAAGGTTTGATTCCCTGTCAGGACACATGCCCAGGTTGCAGGCTGAGGTCCCAATAGGAGGCCACCAATCAATGGTTCTCCTCATTGATGTTTCTATCTCCCTCTCTCTCTCTGAAATCAATAAAAATATATTTTTTTAATTAATTCTTCAACTCATACCTCTTCTGATACTTTTTATTCCATCATTCTTACACCTTCTCTTCCTTTATTCTTCACCATTTACTCTATCCCAACACAGCCCATAGAAGATAGTTACATTCATAAACTGGAAAGGGAGACCAGCTCACCACAGTTGTAGGAACGGGTTTGTTTGCATCCATAGGATTCTTCACTGGCGTACCCTAGATTGTGAGGTGAGCTTTCCATGTAAGAGGAGAGATGAACATACCATCTAAATCCAAGAACACCTTGACACTCGTAAGGATTTATTGTGTAATAAATTTTTCATCTTTCTTAATTTACTTCAAATAGTAGTTTTAAAAGTTAATGAATTAAACCAGACAAAACATAAACTTAAAGAATTTTCTCCATTTCTTACTCAGCTTTCTTTGTATAAACTTTTTAAAAATTTCTTCAACATAATGCAGTCATCAGACTTTAGTAATTATACTCTTTGGTTATTTACTCATCTAGATAAACTTAAAAACAAATACTATCTTCATTCTACCTAATTACTCATCATAATCGTTCAGTTAATTGCAAAGGGAGAGCCTAATTATGCCATTATGACCTTAGATTTCTATAACCGTCCACACTGCGGTATTCAGAGCTGGTTTAAACTTCCAATCAGATTCCTTAAAGACACTAAACAAGTCAGCCGATTATAGACCTGGCGTGCTTCCAATTTGCCAAATCAAGTCACAACCACGTGCCAATTCCCCACCATTTTATAGTAGCCAGATATGTCATCTTATATTCAAATTTGTTGCAGTCAACTTAAATCCCCTTATTAGGAAGTCACATCCTTTCAACAATCTAAAATGAAAAAACGGAAAATCTTTTTAAAAACACAATGCGATTACAACTTTACCCTGACATGTTAACTCAGTATATCTTGGTTTTCATAAATTAAATATATTTACAGAAATTAAGCTGGTGATTGTGAAATCACCAGGCAGCAACAGACTTAATATACATAATTTCTTGACAAGTACATCCAACATTTTTTTAAAATAAACTATAAATTGCCAGTATAAAAATAAAACTAATACTGTCAACAATATCTTCTCTGTCCGTAGGGTCAATCTTGAGTCAAATTGATTACAAAGTTCTTTTCTATAATGTCCTTCAAAAAGAGCTGTTCTGCAGTCACGTTGTGATATGCATTCTAAAAGACAAAAATAAAATCACCGTTTATCCCAATCGCAACAACAGCAATAGAATCTAAAAATTCTGAATGAAAACTTCAAGTATAACAAGTGTCACGGACTTGCGTTAACCTTTCTAATTTATTTGTCTTTGCTCATTTTTGTGCCAGAGCTTTCCCTCAAGCCCATTCTTTCCACTCAACCCAGCACGTAGGTAAGAGGCTCCGTCACATCATCATCTGGTCTGCTGAATCATGGTGGAAGAAACCAACATTGTAAATCCAAACAGGTTGATTGTTGTTACAAGTGCATCACCTGGAACTCAAGTTCTAAACTGTTCTATTCTGTCGACGGGCATCCTAATTTTAGGAAGGTGTTTTAGCGTGTTGTTCTGAAGATGACTAATAATGCCACGTGCTGCAGGAGAGATTAGGGCTGAGGGGAAGCGAGCCTGAAGTCTGTCCCCAGCAACTAACTTTGCAACTAACTACTCAAGTCTCTGCCACACGTGGTGGGGAAGACACAAGTCAGTGTCATGATCTACCCTGACATAGCACTGGACGATGATGATTTCCGGGGACTGGGATTTCATGGGATACAGCCATATACATTATGGCAAATCATGTTCCAATATTAAATATGTACAGATAGCCGAGACCGGTTTGGCTAAATGGATAGAGCATCGGCTTGGGGACTGAGGGGTCCCAGGTTTGATTCCGGTCAAGGGCATGTACATTGGTTGCGGGCATATCCCCAGTAGGGGGTGTGCAAGAGGCAGCTGATCGATGACTCACTCTCATCGATGTTTCTAACTATCTCCCTTCCTATCTGTACAAAATCAATAAAATATATTAAAAAAGAAATGGTTCCTTCTGCCAAAACCGGTTTGGCTAAATGGATAGAGCATCGGCTTGGGGACTGAGGGGTCCCAGGTTTGATTCCGGTCAAGGGCATGTACACTGGTTGCGGGCATATCCCCAGTAGGGGGTGTGCAAGAGGCAGCTGATCGATGACTCACTCTCATCGATGTTTCTAACTATCTCCCTTCCTATCTGTACAAAATCAATAAAATATATTAAAAAAGAAATGGTTCCTTCTGCCAAAACCTGTTTGGCTAAATGGATAGAGCATCGGCTTGGGGACTGAGGGGTCCCAGGTTTGATTCCGGTCAAGGGCATGTACACTGGTTGCGGGCATATCCCCAGTAGGGGGTGTGCAAGAGGCAGCTGATCGATGACTCACTCTCATCGATGTTTCTAACTATCTCCCTTCCTATCTGTACAAAATCAATAAAATATATTAAAAAAGAAATGGTTCCTTCTGCCAAAACCGGTTTGGCTAAATGGATAGAGCATCGGCTTGGGGACTGAGGGGTCCCAGGTTTGATTCCGGTCAAGGGCATGTACATTGGTTGCGGGCACATCCCAGGTGGGGGGTGTACAAGAGGCAGCTGGTCGATGTTTCTCTCTCATCGACGTTTCTAGCTCTCTATCTCTCTCCCTCTCTGTGAAAAATCAATGAAATATATATTTTTTTAAAAATATACAGATAATGTTTTAATCCTACCACTTGTGCTGTGCCACTAATCTAAGATAGAATTCAGAAAATAGGAAGTTCCTCCCCAGTCAATTAAATTAGAAATCTGAAGGATCCTGTCTGCTGCCACTGATCCTTAATTCAAGAGAGGCATGAGCTAGTGTCAAAGATGACAACCTTTCTGACCATAAAGTTTGTTTCATGGGGTTAAAATGTTATAGACCTTGTCTACTTAACTGGAAAAAAAAAATACATGAAAATTATTATGACATGGCAATGCTTTTAGGTGAATATGCAATATTTCCAATAATAGGCTATGTGTATGTTTAAGTTGTGCAAATAGGACACAGTACTTAAGATAAGGCTTGATCCCTGTGTGGGTTGTCAGTACTTGACAATAACTGAGATTCTCCCAAGGGTCTGAGGCCTACACATTGGGAATTGCTGTAGTTGAGAACGCTGGACTTAGTTTTGGCATTTGGTAGCTCTGTAACCCCTATCAAGCCCTCAATCTCTCAAAAGTTTTTTGCCAGGTAAAATGATAGGGTGAGAAGAGAGAAAAAGCAATGATTGTAACAAAGTATCTGTATTACCTTGCTCATCAAGGACATGGTGGCGTTCCCATAGTAGTGCAAAGGACTCTTGAGGTCAGAAAAGTTGTATCTAAAGCCAGCGAGATGGACTTCGTGACATATGTGGAAGGCCAAGGTGATGGCAATAATTCCTGTCGTCGGGTGTTTGGGTTTCTGGGGAAAACGAAATTTTTTCTCTGAAAATCCAAATGAGGTATTTGTTCCCAAGGCATATATGGGAGGCCTAACCTTATGAATCTTGTCATTCAACTAGTTCTAGGAAAAGGCTGACTTTAACTAAGTAACTGCAGTGATAAACTGTACTACCCTGTTTCCCCGAAAATAAGACAGTGTATTATATTAATTTTTGCTCCCAAAGATGCGCTAGGTCTTATTTTCAGGGGATGTCTTATTTTTCCATGAAGAAGAATACAGTACACATTTATTGTTAAATGAAAATAAAGGAAATTTATTACCTGTATACGGTACGGTAGTTGTCAACACAAACCAGATAAACTGAATCCTACAGTATCAAGAATTTACTCATTTATTCAATGACAATTATGTCATCATCTTCTGGAACATCATCATAACAATCCAATTCCTGAATTTCCTGGTGAATTTCTTGTGACTCCATTTCTTTCAGAATCAGTGGACCAAATCTCTCATGTTTAGCCTACAGGGGCCTTATTTTCGGGGGGATGCCTTATATTTCACTCAGAAGGAAACCTGTAAGTAAGTCTTATTTTCGGAGGATGCCTTATTTTCGGGTAAACACAGTAGTAAGTACCTGACTGGACAACAAGGATTCCAGATATACACAGTGTCATCACAGCCTCAACTGGATCCCTATTCATTTACAAACAAATTCTACATCCCCTTCACATGTGCAACTACTAAGGGAAGTGCTGTCTCAGCTATCTGATAGGAGGATCTTGGCATTCAAAGTTGTTATGCTCAGTAGGATGGCCTTTAAAGGAATAAACAAAGTATGTCAACGTTTTATCAACAATTCAAGATTTCCTTTCGGTTAAATATTTTTCACAGATCCCATGGACATTATATTTGATTATGGTTTTGAGGAAAAGAAAAACAGTAAAAATCAGGTAAACAGCAGAAAGCAAAGAAAGCCTGACAAACTTTTGTGTAAGTTTTCTTGCCCCCAGCACTATTGTGAACAGATGCTGGAAAAGGAAGTTAATGGTTGGGCTAAAACCTAGGAGTCACCCAGCTCACTGATCCATTACTGTTTGGGGCTCTTGTATCTCTTAATGCCATGTACTTCCTCTTACCACTCCTTAGAGTACTTCATGGTTATAATCATTTCCTTACGGAGACAGACAATTCTCCTGCAGCTGTCACCCACAGAACCTATATTGTCGCCTGACAATCCTAATTCTGGATAAAGCCACACCCAAGCAGCAGAAAGGGCTAGAGAAAACATCTTACTTGCCTGATTGCAAAACATACTTGCCTGGTTGCATGTTACATTTATGACCGAAGTTTCCCCGAATAAATATCCGTACCTACTCTCCAAGATGACAATTGTATACCTCTCTATGCTCAAACAGCCCGAGCCTCCTTCCTACTTCAACAATCGAACCCTCATTTTTCTAAGAAAACGAGCAATCGCACAAAACCTACATCTTCCCAACTCCAAATCTACATTCATCTTTACCCAGCTTTTCAGGATTCACTTCTCTTACAGGGACCAGATGGCCTGTTTCTCCCTACAGCCAACTTCCCATGAGGGCACTAGACCACATCTTTCAACTAGTTTGCTTCTACAGTTACCCATTGTCTGCCCTCAGCATCAATATTTTCTTTTACTGAATCATTTCCTTCACCATAAAAACATCTTAAAAAACAAACAAAAATTATCCTTGATCTTATGTTCCAACCATTTCTCTGCTTCCTTTTCTAGCAAAACCCTATTACAGATTTGCCTCTGCTGATATGTCCATGTTTTATTTAATCCATTTCAAACAGGTTTTCTTCCTTTCTTATTCTTAACTCATATGACCTCCATGTTTCCAGAACCAGGGTGTATTGTTTGTGCTCAGCCTCTGAATGGCATCTGACACCATATCCTACCAGAACTAGTAGTTACAACTAGTCCCAGTACCATCTCTAAGTAAAACCAAGGTCTTCCTCTGCTGTTGGAGTTAGGAGGCCACCTAAAATAAAAGAGGTAATGCCTTGGCTGGTATGGCTCAGTTGGTGGTGTCCTGTGCATCAAAAGGATGCAGGTTCGAGTCCCAGTCAGGGCATACACATGGGTTACAGGTTTAACCCCCAGTAGGGGGCGTGCAAGAGGCATCCAATCAAAGTTTTGCTCTCATATCAGTGTTTCTCCCTCTCCCTTTCTCTCTACAAATCAATAATTTAAGAAAAAAATTGTTTTTTAAAGAAAAGGGTTAAACCTGATCATACCTCTCTTAGGAAAATTATCTTGCCTTTTCACCTCAGAATTACTAAGAATCTGTGTTTTCTCAATACCAAGAAATAGGGTTTAAACATAAGATAGTTATGGTTTTTTGACTTGGGAATTCACTTTCAAGCAACTAACCTACAGAAATCATGTAAGTATGCAGAAAATCCCTAAAAAAGCACATGTATTTTCATGTCACTTATGAAAGAAAAAGCTGGATACAAACCTAAATGTCTCTAAACAGGAGAATTATTAATTAGGTGGAGGGGAAAATAGCAGAATATTATCTATTGGATGGACAAAATGTTATGTTTTTAAATGCATAGTAAAGACTAGGAGGATATAAAGCAAAAATTCTTGTGAGATAATGTGAGTTATTAAGGAAGGAGAAATTATGTCCTTTTAAAAATATTTCTTAGTATTTTCATTTTTAGCTTATAATTCTTTAGAATTGTTTTTATCGTGCTTAAAGAAAAGATAACATGAGGTGTGTTTCTTGGGCCTTTCCCTGATTACAAAAAGTAACTTGATTACACAAGTTACCCAGGCTTCAAATGGAAAGCATCTCTGCCACTGGACTGATCTAGTCATTATTGCTTTCTAGGTGTTATAGACAAACAGGCCTGCAAAAGTCACAGTCAGTGAGATTTCTCTTAACTAAAGAATTGGGAGTTTTAAGAACTGTGAATATTGCTGTAACTACCATTTGCTGAGAATTCAGTGCCCGTGTCTCCTGTGACTGCAGAAGTATTTCTGGGCTGCCTTACTGTCCTTGCCTTTCCTCTCATTTCCCTGTGGGGGTTCTATAACAGATTGCTTGAGACCGCTCCTTTTAGCTGAAAGCCATGCGTTGTCCTGAAGCTAGTCCTACTGCTCAGAACAGCCTGTTCCTCAGTCCTCTTCCCTCTCCCTTGACACCCTCCCCGCCCCCTGCAGAACATGGGAGAGTTGCAAGAGATGAACCACCTGGGCATGCAGTTGGAGACCCCAGAAAGCTTCACTAAAGATCTTGTTCTTGCTAACTGAAAAACATGAAGGTAATATCCACAGGTTCCTAATCTCACTGACCCAGGCGAGACCCCTAAGGTTCCCCTATTCAACTCCAGCAGGATCCTTAATTTGAAAGTACCAAGGAAAATACATACCTGATTTTTGGGAAACACTTTTGGGAAATTAAGCAGTTCATAAGCTGCTGTTCTGATAATGAAAGGATCTAAGATTCTGATTTGATATGGTTTATAGATCAGGTTTAAGGCTGGTTTTTTCCAAAAACCATTAGTGTTCTGAAATAAAGCAAACAATACAGAAAATAAAACACTGTGGTTGTCTTTTGTTACAGAAAAAAAAAAAAAAAGGTAATCAAAAGGGAGATCCGTTTTGCCAACTTACTATGTTGCCCCCCATCAACAATTCCCACAGCCACTTCAAATCGTGCGGCTTAAAAGCAATGAGAATGGCTGTGGTGTTAGGATCATTGTGTTTGGGATCTGAAAAAACAGATTCTGGATAAAAAAGTCGGAAGGTTGTCCTTCTCCCAACTTCCTCTTCGTGTCCTAAAACGGGACCATTATTCATCCTGTGGACAGAAAAACACAAGATATGTAGACCAAATGCAGTCTGAACCATTTCCACCAGTTCCCAGAGGTATCTGTCCAACAAACATTTGCCATGTGGCCATGTCTTATGGCACAAGGCAATCAATCAGTCTTCCACACATAAGGGCCGAGGAAATAATTCCCTTTCATAGGTCAGCTACTTGATCAAAGCAGAAACTTGCATTTGTATTTTAAAATTTGTTTGGCATTACTGGTAATTCAGTCTTACCTCCAGGGAAACTAAGGCAAATAAAAATGGGAACATAAGAACCACAATAGTAGGGTTAAAATTCAGGAGGAGGTATCCCTGGTTCCTTTATCCCCATCTCTGCTCATAGCTAATACACTAACAAATCCTGATAACGCTACCTCTAAAACACGTTCCATCTATCCAACCTTTTACCTCCTCTGCCCAGACCGCTCTGCTCCAATTCCCCATCGTTTACCTGAACACAGCAACCTGCCTGGCCTCTTCATTTCCACCCTTGTCCCTCATACTCCATTGTTCAGGCCTTTGCCAGGCTCTTAAAGATAACCAAGTCAAATTGCTTTCCTGCTTAAAAATCTTCAAACGTTTCCTGCCGTACTTAAAGTAAAATCTAAGCCCTCGTCCTAGTTTACAAAGTCTAAGCCCAGCTTACATAGCCTGCTCCTCGCCCACCTCTGGAGTTTCCTCAGTGGTTTTCTTGCTACTTCTCTCAAACCCAGATCACAGCCTCCCGAGGGCCTGTGGTAAACATTCTCTCTGCCTGCATTGCCTTTCCCCACGCTTTATGGGGCTGGCGTGGACTGTGCACTCAGTCCAGCTTAGAGGTCTCCTCTTCAGGGTGCTCATCCATCTTAAAATAGCCACCCAATCATTCTCTATCATCTACTTTTAATTGTATGGAAGGCATTTATTATTATATTTCCTTATTCAATTACGTTTTTCTTCCTCTCATTAGATTGTACGCTCCACAGAGAAAGAGAGCCTTGTGTATTTACTGCTGTGTCCCCTGGGGCCAGAACTGCCTGGCATATGAAGGGGATTTAATGAGCATGTGCTAAGTGAATGACCTGAAGTCTTGAGCCAACAGCTGAGAGACAAGGTTATGTAATGTACTTAGAAATATCAAAGCAGCTCCTCCGCCTTTTAAAACACAGCTGTTATAAAGCAGGAAGCCACGTTTTGAAACAATTCCAGTTTAGCAAGTGAGAAATATATTTACCTTATTATTACATCATAGGAGTCAATTCTTTCTCCTAATGTCTTGTTCTTCAAAACTCCTCCATTACCAACCACCACGCACCTTTTACACGGCACACTGTTGGCAGACAAGGGGGAGATTGAGCCATCTGTGACAGAATGAGTGATTCCCACACCCATTCATACTTTCAGAAACCCAAAGCCACATTGTACTTGTTGCACAAGTAGAAAAAGAGCCAATTATGACATATATAGGTCTAAGGATGTAACACAAAGGTACAAGACTCGAGAAAAACATTGCCTAAGAAGTGTATTGTCATCAGCAACTATTAACCCTTATTAGCCCATACACATACAAGTTCCCTCATTTGAATCTCATAACCACCCACAGAGATAAGTAAGCCTAATAGTTACATTTAACAAATAAAGAAGTCCAGAAAACTAACATTTCAAAGTCATACCCAAAGAGAGAACTTTGGATGGAATTTGGATACAGGTCTTTGAACTATAGAAACCTCCTTAGACACAGATTTTGCATGTTAATACTGATGTGAGTGTATTTGTTACCTATATATACATTTTTTGTCCTTTATTTTTTTCTGTGTCCCTGGGGTTTTTCTTTATTAAGGTATTACATATGTGTCATTATCCTCCCATTTTCCCCCATCTCCTCACTCATGTCCTCACCCCCCTAGTGCCTGTGTCCATTGGTTAGGCTTATATGTATGCATACAAGTCCTTTGGTTAATCTCTCCCCCTTCCCCCCCATCCTCTCCTGCCTTCCCTCTGAGGTTTGACAGTCTGATCGATGCTTCTCTGTCTCTGGATCTGTTTTTGTTCATCAGTTTATGTTGTTCATTATATTCCACAAAGAGTGAGATCGTGTAATATTTATCTTTCTCTGACTGGCTTATTTCGCTTAGCATAATGCTCTCCAGGTCCATCCTTGCTGTTGCAAATGGTAGGAATTCCTTCCTTTTTATAGCAGCATAGTATTCCATTGTGTAGATGTGCCACAGGTTTTTAATCCACTCATCTGCAGATGGTCACTATGTTTTACCTGAGATTCTAGCTCTGATTACTGCTATATCTTGTAAATGTGGAGACAGACAGGTGGAATCAGATAAGGACAGTGCAACTTCCTTGTCCCTGCCCATGCTCACTTAAATTCCAAACATGTACTGGTCGTTGGAGCTTAACCAATACAAACTAAAAATTCACTCTCTGTTCCTGGTGAAGGGCTGAAAAGCAGGACTGAAGTGGGACTTCTATTGCTGGCTGGGATTGGCCGAGGACCACGTATTGTGTACCATCAGCTTTCCACAAACTGCATGTCCCATCTTTCTCCTCCACGCTGCCCCTTGCCCAGACAGACCTGGAGAAATGACAAAACAGATCAAGCCCTTCTCCTCTAGGGGACAAAACTATGTAGGGGAAGACTGGTGAGACTGCCCTCATGACATGGAAGTATAGAGAAAAAGTTTCCTCTAAGAACTAGGAAATCAGCAGACCAGTGAACTGGTATCTGCCAGGCCCTTAGGAAATTCATGAGAGCAAAATTGCACAAATGCTTAGAGTAGTTAACCGCAGAGAATGCAGAAGTACAGGAACCACTGCAAAGAGCCAAGCATTGGCCCTGTCAGGTTAAGTAGAAACAATACACATTCCTATATGCATGAGATTACCTTTTTGACTGAGAATTTATTTAGCTCATCTAGTTTATGTTTTTAACGCTCCATATTTTAAGACTATTTTTACATGTTTTAATTTGAAACTCTTAGCTCCCAAAGTTAGAGTCATGTCCAAATCAGTGTCTACTTTGTCACAAAAACAAGTATTGTGAAGTTTCACAGGTGGGAAGGTCTGATGGGCGTGTCCAACAGGCTTGAGGACCTGCCCCACACCTCCACCTGGGCATGTCCCAATGCATTCTAGGGATGTTTCTTCTAAAAATGTCTGCCTTTAACTATGAAAGTAACGCCTCCAGGTGCTTTTCTATGCACGCTTGACATTCATCCTAATTCCAGGAAGGCAACCTCATGTGCAACAGGTGGAGGAGCTGGGAGTCCTGGTAAAGGGAGTGCCTCCCTCTCCAGGCGAATGGCCGTCGTCCTCCCCAGATCCTCCCCATGAATACTCTGCACGAGGCAGTTCCCATACACAGGCTAACTGGCTTTTCCTTCCATAACTTCCAGGTCAGCTTAATGCAAATTGGAGGCTGAATTTTATTTTATTTTTTAAAAATATATTTTGATTCTTTTACAGAGAGGAAGGGAGAGGGAGAGGGAGTTAGAAACATCCATCAGTGGAAACTGGTTTGGCTCAGTGGATAGTCGGCCTGAGGACTGAAAGTTCCCAGGTTCGATTCAGGTCAAGGGCATGTTATCTTGGTTGCGGGCACATCCCTAGTAGGAGGTGTGCAAGAGGCAGCTGAGAGATGATTCTCTCTCATCGATGTTTCTACCTCTCTAGCCCTCTCCCTTCCTCTTTGTAAAAAATCAATAAAACATATTTTTTTTTAAAAAGAAACAAACATTGATCAGCTGCCTCCTTTACACTCCCTACTGGGTATGTGCCAGCAACCAAGACACATGCCCTTGACCAGAATCAAACCTGGGACCCTTGAGTCCGCAGACCAACGCTCTATCCACTGAGCCAAACCGGTCAGGGCTGGAGGCTGAATTTTAAAGCTGGCTCCACCACCCCAGTGGAATGCTGAGCAGACAGGCGGATGGGGAGGAAGTGGCTGGGAATGGACAGGATGGAAATGACAGCTCTGTTCCTGATAGATAACATCCAGTGGGGTGGAGGAGGCTTCTCTACAATGATGGTCATAGACTAGTTCTGTCCTTTGAATGAAGGCTGGAGGCCACTTCCCTGTCAAAGGCCACTTCCCTGTCAAAGGCCACCTAAGGCCAGGTGGCCCGGGGCTACCCTTTAGCAGTCTCTTTTTAAAAATTGATTTTAGAGAGAGAGGAAAGGGAAATAGGGAGAGAGAGAAAGAAAGAGAGAAGTTGCCTCCTGTATGTGCCTGACCAGGGATCGAACCCCCAATGTAGGTATGTGCCCTGACCTGGAAACAAACTCGAGGACCTTTTGTGATACAGGATGGTGCTCCAGCCAACCGAGCCACCGACCAGGGCTGGCATTAACGGCTTCTCTGCAGCTGGTGTTCACAGTGCCACCAAGACTCGGAAACGTGTGAGATACCCATGCATGGTCTGAACCACACACCTCGCAGCTCACTGTTTCCCTCTCCCTGGCAGATGCCCGTATATGACTAAAGAAGTGGATCGTCCTCTCCTCGGTTTCATCCAGTTGGTCCAGGCTCCCGTTCTTCCTAATTCCTGGGGTGTGAAGCCATAGCATGCAGTGTCCCTGGAGTGACTGTGTAACTTCACCACATTTAATTAGCACGGCCTTCATGCACAAATAGCCGCAGTGAACGTGAGTCTCTAGGGGCCAGAATGGTGTCACTTCCGTTTCTGTATTCTCCGACCTAAGGCATCCGACTCACAGGCTGTGCGGTTAGAAACCGGTTCGGTTGTAACATTCAGTGTGGCTGTCACTGTCCGACTTTTGAGACTGGAGAAACAGACAGTGGTTCCTCCTTTCCCCGTCCTGGAAGCAGGGAGGGAGAAGCACAGGCCCCAAACCACCACTCATCTGGAAAGCAAACTCACTCCAGGGGGCCTGGCCCTGCTAATGGAAAATCCGGGAAGCTGCTGATGGTGCACTGGCCAGAGGTTATACTCCCCCAGGGGAGTGGCCGATCCAGGAAAGGCACCACCTCACGCAGAGGGACACAGCAGCGCCGTCATGTAGAGAAAGCGAACTTGTGAATTGCCCATTTCACATGATCTGTGGCCTTTATTTTTTGACTGCTTCCTGGTATTCATTTTCCCCTTCAGCAGCATCATATGATGATTCGCATACTTCACTCCACCTTCAACAACCTATGGCAGTTCCCACTGGTCCTACTGCCTCGTGCCTTGCTGCCGAGCCCTGCTTTCACGAGCCTGCCAATGGCTGGTCTAGAGGTGGCCCTGGGACCCGTCCCTGGGCAGTAAGACATAAGGAAGTCTACTGGATGCTCTGGAAAAGATTTTTCTCCCAGCAAGAGCAGGACTGAGCAGAACCCCTTCCTTTTATCCACCCTTTCCTTTCTGCTCAGATAACACTGTGTAATGACATCAAGTTAGAGCAGCTGCTGTTTCTTGCAACGAACAGGAAAAGGCAGGGAGCACCGGAGATCCTGCCACCTCCCAACAATTACCCGTATATGACTAAAGGAGTGCCCACACCCACAGCTGCTCCACAGAGGTGCAGGCTGTCTGCAGTCCAGCTGTACAACACACCATTCAGGCGCTGCACGTGTGAACTGGTGTCCCAGGAGCCTGCAGCCCAGTCTGTGCAAGCCAGCCACTCCCCTCCCCTCCTTACCACCTGCCCCACCTCACCTCGCCTTGCCTCAGGCCAGAGGAACCACAAGCCTGCAGATCCAGGGACCACCTACCTATGCAATCCTGGGAGTTTAAGGTCTGCTTTGTTTTCATCACATTTACTCAGCACGATAGTCACTTGCAGCCCAAAGATCCCAAAACATTGTGAAGCGCCCTGCAAGTGGAGCCCTGACTGCTACCGTGTTTCTCTGAAAATAAGACATCCTCCGAAAATAAGACCTAGCACATGGAAAGATAAGACATCCCCTGAAAATAAGACCTAGCGCAACTTAGGGAGAAAAAATTAATATAAGACACTGTCTTATTTTCGGGGAAACAGGGTAGCTGTGCTCCCCCTCACAGCATCCCCTTGGCCGTGGCCTAGTGGCCTCCTCACCTTTCACCCCAGGCTGCCCTTTTGTGAGTCATCGAGGTCTTCAATGTCGTTATTCCCTTGCACGGGACCATTTTCTCTAGCACGTGTGCGGGATGTCTACAGTTCTACAACAGCTGGCTGCGCTGTCATTGCTGTGCCCTTCACCACACACACTCCCCGCTGCTGGAGCATCACAGCCTTCCCTCCTCTCTCACGCCCCTCCGGGCTGCAAGTGCCGCCATGACAAGAAACCCTGCACACCAGCAGGGTGTCCGGAGTTGGATGCAGGTGTGGATGCCT